CTCACTACCTAGGAGTGGGGGCTTTTAGTATGTTTACCTCCTTACTAGTCCAAACAATGTCCCAAAGTCAAAAATTGTGTCGCCGCCATTTCCTTCTATACTCCCTTTCGGAGTATTAATTGACTAGACTAAATGAACATACGCTTCTTTTGGAAATGACATATATAAGTAAGGATTTTCTATGCTATTTCTATTAATGTTTCGTTGCACTATGGCACTATTGCATTATTAATAACTATATTATCTATCTTTAACTCTTAGGTATGTATTGCACTAACACACTCCCCTACTGCCCGCATGCTAGTACCCGAGTCTATTGTAGTTTACTTAGAGGATGGACCGAAGGCTGGGGGCACTGTTTGCATTGTTAAAATGATCGATAGTAAATAAGTTAGTACGATTATTTATGATATCTTTCCGAACTGTAGGATGGTGCTAGAGGGGAAGAGCGGTGGGAGCCATAACGACTACGGTAGCATCGGCGGGGCCGGACCAGTAGAGAGCAGCACCAGCGCGGCCATGACACACAGCGACCTCTACCAGCGGCAGCCCTTACTAGCCGCCAACGGAGTCTGTCCCCAGGCCACTACCAACTTCTACAGGTGAGATAATTTATATATTTAACAAATTGATTATACATATATATATTGTATCCTCTCTTATTTTCTCCCACTTTGACTACGGCTGTGTGGTGTACGAAGGCTGCTTAAGATTTGTCTTCGGTACATCGAGGCGGTCTCATGTGTGCCACCTTTACGATGAGTTAAAGTGGCTCTTCCCTTCTTTCCGCAGACAAATTTCCTTGGATCTTTCCTATTCCAAACGATCAACACCCGACACCCTTCCTTTGTCTACAGTCTCCTACAGTTCAAACCCGTGGTCCACTCCCAGAAAACAAGATCCCGTGTTTCCGACCTTTATATCCCTTCCCATAGAACTAAGACATTTGAATATTCCTTTATTGCCCGATCCAGCGCCTTCTGGAATTCCTTGCCATCTGATATCCTCCATGCCTCTTCCTTGTCCTCCTCATTTAAATATCATCTCTACCAATTCCTTCGCACATGTCAAAATGACGTTATACAATGAAATAAATATTGCGAAACAGATTTTGACTGAGGTGAATAGTTGTTAAAATTGATTGAGTTTTAATTTTAAAAATCAACACATGCTTACATTATTCTGTTTTGTTTTTTCATTTAAATAATATTTGTTTTTTTTCAACTGGTGTTATTTTTACTTGTTTTAATATACTTTTACTGAGATACTGTATATTTTCTTTAATAGTGATTAATGTAATATATGGCCAGATTTATTTTTTATTTTTTTGTTCATAACTGTTATTCATAAATACCTCGTCCCAGAATAAAGTTTACTTTCTTTATTTATAGCATTTATTTCTTTTTCTTTATCTTTTTTATTTATTTTTATTTAATTACTATTTATCTTGATTTATTTATAACGGTACTAGTTCTTTTTCGCTGCTCCGGTTGAAATCAAGATGGCGCCCAGTCTCAAGATCACCCATAGCGCGCTTCTCGATTACCGAATATGTCCGAAAGAAGACGGAGCTTACCTAATCCCTACTTGATTCTAGATTATCTCCCAGCTTAAGAGGAAAACTATTACTGTACAATGGGGTAACTTTGGGACACTTCAAAGTTTTAAGCTGCTTTTATCTTTATTTTCAAAGTTAAAATGCTTAAAAAATTATTAATATGTAAGGTCAGTCCTCCTCTTACAAAATATGGCAGAACAATTACTCTAAAAACAAGAGTAGTTAACTAAAAAAAAATTGAATCTGTCCATTGATTGAGATAAAATTGGGACAGTGCATTATCTCCATTAGAAACGGCATGAAACATGATTTTGAACCAATGTTACTCCACAATATTGTATAGGGTCATTATTAACATAAGGAACAACAAGTAAAATGAGTGTATATCAATTTTATCCAACAATACTATACTTACGAGCGCATGACAACAATAAATTCGTATTAATGGTACAAAAAGATTGCATTTAAACACTTCGAACGATTTAGTTTTTGTTAACTGAAACCAAGAGATTGCTGTTAACTTGCAGCTCTTTCACTTTGAAAATTACTCGCCGGCCAATATGTCCTTTGAGTAGTGAATTTCATTATGTGTTGAAGCCCATTTTCAATTAGAAGCCCATTTCATCATGGCCGATATTAATGCTTCGGTAATCTGATATTCGCAATTCTTAGGGCACAAGAGGCAGTTTTATGAAAACAAAAATTTAAAAAATAAAATAAACGCTATGGAAATAAATTTAACCTAACTGCACAACGAGTGTAGATAATCAGGGTTCTCAAACTGCTGCAAAGTAATAGCGCAGTCGCTGTACATGCTTACATAAAGCACGTTTTTGCAGATCGAACCAACATCGTGTATCACGGAATCACCACTAACTAAATTTTATCCGCTGTCCCAAAGTTTTACCGCAAGGTACTCAATTGAAATAGTGAATAATACTTTTTGAAATATTGAAATAAATATGATTTGTAGGAATCCTATCTGACAATCGGATTATTAATTATAATAATAAAATGATGGTGCTATGCATTTTTACAATGATCAAAATATTCACTGCCTCAAATTATTTTCAAAGTGTATTTTTCTATACATGTTTTATTATTATACGTATTTTCTTCGTTCCGCAGTCTCCGTATCTGTCAGTGAAAATGAGGATTGGAATTTAATTTTAGTAGACTTATTTTAATTACTTTTAGCTATTTTCCTTATTACGGATTTTATTATTTTTTCATGTTTACGTATTGTAAAAGCGGGACCCTTACCTAATCTAAACTATTAAAAGTCAGCTATGTCGGATGTAAACCTCTGTCAGTATTCGGGAATGTTGGAATAGCTAGTTCTGCGTGATTTTGGAACTGGCCGCTATCATTGGAGTACCGAAACGAAACTAGTAACATATTCATTATCTTATTTATGTATATTTTTATTGATTTCGTTTACAAAATTAGTTGCTCTCGTTTTGTTATGACATTGGCTATTGTTTTACAAACATTTATTTCTATCACCAGGTTTCACATTGCCTTGACAATACCTTCATGACAGAAATAGTCACTGTGTAAATGAGTCTTTAATGGAGTCACTGTACTTCACATTTTTAAACGAATAACTTAATATCGTTTTTAAATATAGTAAAAGATTACTTATCATGAGAATACGTTTGTGCGTGTCCGTGCGTGTTGTCAAGGCAATGAGAATGCTGTTGATCAAAAATAATGGTAGTAGTAATAGCTGATGTCATGGTAAAGGGTAACTAATTATGTAAACAAAATTAATAAAAATATCAAAATTACATTAACTGAAAAAAAATTGAATTATATAGTTAGGATACTTATAAAATAGATTATATTAATATATTAATTATTTATTCATTCTCACTCAACACGTCTATATTCACCCTGTTTGTTAGTTTGTTAATATTTAAACTACTGACAGAGTTAATAAATCCCTTCTGATGTATTGTATTTATTATAACTATATGTGGCATTAAATCTTTATCCTGCGCCCTTCTGTTTTGAAAATTAATCTATACTACGTAGTAATATGTTTGTGTTTCTAAAAGTTTGTGCTTGTTTATGTTTTATTAATTTAAGGTAAGTCATTTGGCCTAAAAAAGATAAATAAAAGCAGTAATAATCGGATGAATGTAATTTTTTTTGAAAAATATGATTCGAAATTCATACTTATCTAAAAAAGGTACCATAAAACAGCTCTTGTATCTGACTTTTTTTTTCGATATTAATTTTTTATAAACTAGCTTACTTTCCTACAAGTTCATGACAATTTCCCGATATCCGTTTCAGCTATTGGTATATTTTTCTGTGCCGTGATTATCCCTTGAAATGGTGGAACTATTTTGTTGTTTGTCTGTTTATTTTTTAAAGCTTTTCCACAAAATTCCTCTGTTCCAAATCGAGCATCCTGTGTCCATTAACCGAAAAATATTTTGTATGGTTTGTAGTGCCAAAATTGCTTTAATAATTTTAATAAAATTTGCTTTAAGTCTTCTTTAATGCCTGTATTTTTTCATAAAAATATATAACACAAGCAGGAAAAATTTTATGAGGAAAAGAAAATGTTATTTGGTCATATCTATATCGGATTAGTATTAGCAAGAGAAATATGGCAACATTGTACGGCTGCTCAACTTGTACGACTGTGTTGAGTTGCTAAATAACACAGTATACAATCAATAGATATTACATTTAAAAAAATATAACTGAGAGGTCGGGCCATTGGACTACATGTCAGATATGATAAAAACATCTATTATAATTCGTACCAAAGTTTTTAATTGAATCTTTGGCAAATTCCCTTGAAAACAACCACTGTTATTTTTTCGAATAATTCAGAAACTATACATCTCTGCCGGATCATTATAAATACTCATTCGTAAAATAATGAAATTGCCTACAAAACTAACCTTTAAAAAATAAATATTTTTTATTCAGCTTATTGTCTGCATTTAGTTAGCACTATTTTACTAGTTATTATTGACCGTCATTCTTACCTTCTCCTTCTGTATTCCATATATATTTCGATGAACTATTCTAATTAATCCATTTTTATTATAATATTATGTTAATGACGTTGCGGTTGTAGAAAAGGAAACGACAACACATCAAAGTGTAATTGCCCGTAACCACTAATGGATCCAGGATTTAATTTTGGGGGAGGGCTTCAGCCCGAAATTTTTTTTTATGTATGTATATATTAGGATAATTATTTCAGATAAAAGAAAGAAACTAACTAACTAGCTATATGAAATGGTGTTTAAGTAATCCTTTATGTCCTATTAAATGTAATTAGATGAACAATAATACTTCTAGAGATATTTTTTTTCATATGGTTTTATATTAACATTTTGGGAGGGGGGACTTCAGCCCGAAAGCTCTCTCCCTCTCCCCCGTAGATCCACCTGTGTCCGTGACTTATGTTGCTATAATATCGATCCCGCTTGGAAAACTTAATCGTAAATATTTGTTATATTTTGTTAAATTTCTTGTTCTATGAAACAATATAATAAAAAAAAATTAAATACTTTTTTAAACCAATGTTCGATGTAACGGGGGGGGGGAGGAGGAATAAAAAAATATATATATTTTAATAACCAACAAGCAGCGGTGAAAAACGTAATTGACGTAACATAAATTATTTTGTTGGTATCACCTTAAGTTGGTATTGAATTTAGAAAACGTTTGTTTTACTATTGTTGAATGTTATGTGACGTTTCAAACCATTTATAAATTATTAGAAAATAATGCAAAAATAATTAATATAAATTTAAATTCATTACATCATAATTGTGACTGTAGCTGCAAGAGGGAGCTTTAAAGCTGTTGTATTTTGAATTACGAATGGACGAATGATTAAAGGTAGCCACTGCCGATCACTCGAATCCAAGTGGAACGACCGTGAGTAAATTCCATCGATCCGAAACTCCATCACGCCACGGCAAAATCAAAAATACTGTAATTTTAATATTTACAATATTAGTTATTTAAAGTGGTTTTTACAAATATATTAATTATGTAACTTGAAATTTTGTTTATTTGATTAATAATAATCATTTTAATGAATACAACTGTTAACTAAACACGGGTTTCGCAAAATACATCCACATAAACTAAATTCATACCAAATAGTCTAAAATACTTCGAAAAATCGTAAATTCGTCCTAATTTATTTCAAATCACATCATACACAACAAGGAGAACATACCAACAGTAAATTCCTACATAGATAACAAAAACACAACATTCCATTCTTCAACTGTTAATAATCAAAATCCACTTGCCCTCTATGTTACCTGGTGAGTCTCAAAGAAGACAAAATGAACGACAGCACATTTGCTAAATGCAAATCTAATGTAAAATAAAATAATTAATTAAACGTAAATTTAATTTTTAGGTGGAACAATAATTACAATATGAGGCTTTCCATAAAGTTATAACATAATCTGTAAACCAATTTTACATTATTAACAATTAAAAAATTAAGGTAATTAATTGTATTTACTTAATGATGCTTACAGTTATTCAATGACGTAGGTTATTGTAATTATTTTTTGTGGGAAGAGGAGGATTCAAGATGATCCAAAAACATATTATGTCATAAAGTTAGTTTATCAACATTACTTTACTTTGTATGAATTCAACATCAAGAATTTTCATAAAAACCTCTCTTATTTTTTTCTGATAGTAGGCGAACGAGATTTATAATTTTTAAATTTTTCTTGCCAAAAATTAATTTTTTTTTTTTTTTTTTATGGTTCATAGAGCCATTCAAAATACATAGTAACAAATACTGATTTGTTGAGTGAAAATACTTCAGTACACAAAAAAAAAAAAATCCTAATTTTCAATTGCATTGAGTTAAGATAAGTATAAATGAAGGATTTCCTCGTAAATAGTCATATGGTTAACATTAAAAATCCTTAATTTGAAAGCTTGTATATTAATTCAATAAATGATTTTACCTTTTTCTTTCCACCATCTAATCTTATCCCATCCCAGTTAAGCAGTAACTTTGACCCTAAATAGTCTGAACTAGTACAAATAAAAGAAAAAGAAATTATCTATTTATTTAAGTTATATCTTTTTCGGCATTTATTATTATTATTATTGTTAAGGACGTAGCGAGGTTGGCTGAAAATATAGTCCTCGACTCCCTGGGAATCATTCACCACCACGTGCATGGCTAGCCCGAGAGTTTTAATTTATGTATTTGTTTATTTATTTTCTTTTAGTGAATAATTGAAAACAATAGCGATAAAGAGAGAGAAGTGAGAGAAAGGGAAACTTAATGTTAAATAAAAAAAAAAAAAAAAAAAAAAAAAAAGAATGAAAAATGAGAAGAGGGAAAAAGGAAAAAAAAAAAAAAAAAAAAAAAAAAAAAAAAAAAATTATAAGGATAAATAAAATAATAAAAATGTATATATATATATATTTCTGTTTTACTAATATTAACTAATACTTCTGTATATTTATATATAAGTTCATATATTGTCTTAAGGATAGAAGAGTATGCTGTGTGTATAGCAACCCAATGTAATTGGGCAGCAATCCTTTATATTTTATATTTTATGAAAATAAAGTGTTTCTCTTTCTCTCTATTGATGAATAAAATAAAACAGATGATTTAAAAAAATATTTTAATTTATGGAAAAATGAAATTAAAAGTATGTTAATTATAGTATGCAAATAAAAAATGTGATTATTAAAAAGAAAGGTTATTTATTAATAGTTAATTTGAAAAATGTATTTACTTATACGGTGAAATTATTTTGAAGGAAGAAATATAAATTATTTTGTTTGTGTCAAATGTTTTCTAAACTATCTATCTATCTAATATTTTTCTAAAGTGAAAGAAGAGTTGTTATGTTTGAATGTTCGTTATTGTTTTGAGCAGGGTAGTAAGAGAAGGGTCGAAGAAATTAGTGGTAGTCCTCCGTACTTCGCCAAGTCTTCATTAGTTAACAAAGGAGTAAGTGCCACTCTGTGGAATGTTACTTTTTCCCTAAAAAAAAAAAAAAAAAAAAAAAAATATGGAGCTCTTCAGGGATTTTTTATTTTCATAGCAAACTGGCTTTATTTTTTCCAAGATGTTGTCCCATCAGAAAGAAAAGAGCTCAGGGTAAGTGGGTATTTTGTTGGGAATGTTACTAGATCATTTTGTGCTGTAAAAAATTATATCTTTTAATCATCGTATTATATTCCAATATATATATCTGAGGTATGGTAGTTAAAAGATCAATTTTCATTCACGTTTCATTCATATTAAAACATTCAATTGCTAAGATATGATAAATTGTCCAGTTTCCGATAATCATTCGTTACAATGATTGAAAATAAACTGTTTATATCTCTGAATGTTCTGTTTTCATTTATTTTCTGCACTTTCCCTGAATCTCATTTTAGAAAAAGGCAACATCTTAGGAATTTCCAACATCATATTTAAGAAGTTAATGTTTAATTTATGACCTCTGGTTATAAACAAAATCTATTCTATTAGATTCCACAAAAAATTAGACTTGGAAAATGACTTCCCTCTCTGCTTTCCCTGTAAATTTAAGTGACTCCAAAATCTTAGAGAACTTCAACAATAATTTATGACCTTTGTATTTATTTACTTATTCTAAAAATTTAATAATTTTATTGTCATTATTAAAACAGGCTGCTTGTTTTATCTGAAAGTGTGATTGCTGGGATAAGAGAGTTTTCTTCCAGTTTAATATTCATTTGTGAGAAATATTTAAATTAGAAAAGTCAAACAAATGTACTATACTTTTGAAATAAAATAGTCAATTTAGCTTACAAGTTTATGTAAGTTGTTAAAAGTTTTTAGATTTTTTTGTAAGTTTTAATTTTTTTTTTTGTCTAATTTCTAAAATAATTTTCTTATGTTTCAGAGATGATGATGAGGAGAAAGACGATGATGACCTCAAAAGGATCGAGATTGTCAATGCCAATGGTGCTATTAGAATTGAAATGCCTGGGCCTCATCGTGAGGAGCCCAGATACCCCAAAGAGAAATGGAAAACATTTGTTGGTAAGCCATGACTCTTATCATATATCAATGATTAGAAAAACTACTTGTTTAGTTAAAATTTGTTAGTTAGATTACAGTAAAAAATATTATTATTAGTTAAAAGAAGATATTAAGTAGAGATTAAGAAGTTAAAATAATAATATTATTAATATTATAAGATATTAGTTAAAAGAAGTACAGTAAATTCAATAGTTTTCTTAATTTTTATGTCTTAAAATGCATTATATTTACTTCTATCAAAGAGTTTGATTATTATAAATGCAGTTAATAGTAACATTTGTAATTAATAAAATAATCTGTTCTTATTGAGCTGGACAGAATACATTTTGACTTGTTTTTCTAATAATAATGCATTACAGTTTTACACTTTTTAAGATTATGATAATATAGGTAAAATATATTGATGGCCTATTGTCAAAAATCTAATGGCCTATTATAAATTAGATGGCCTATTGTCCATCTAAAAAAAATATTTTTTACGTATTTTCAATGAAAAATGTCAGATTTACATGATCATTGTTATATTTAAAATCAGCAAAGATGTATAATTCATTCAATGTAGTATAAATAAGGATGACTGAGTTTAGATTCAAGACTTTTTATCTTGTTGTTTGTTTGTTTTTTCACATTCTGGGAAGTTGGCTTTTTCCAGATAGATATTTTTCATTACAAACCATCAAAATTTAAATATTCACAATCATAGGGTACAATTTATGGTCATTTAAACACTCAACAGATTCCAAATGCCCATCATCACAATGTAATGAACAAAAATAGAAGAAAAAAGAACTCTTTCCAACATTTAATAAGTAAATTTGTGGGATTTATCCTTTAATTGTGAAAGTATTATAAATAAATGTTTTTATTACTTATTTATTTATTGGTTGTATCTCAATCCCTATTATATTAAAATTATAACTGGGGCAGATAGTAACTTGATGAAATCCGTTGTAGAATCGTAAGAAGTGCTTCAGTTTAAATGTAAATTTGAAATTATTCATGATACCCTTTAGAGCTTATTCTAACTCCATAAAATTAACTATAAATTGAATATGGTTCTATTCATTATTATGATAACTATAATTTGTTTTTCTATTTTTCTGGAGGTCTAAAGTGGCTTGTTTATAAATTTTATAATATAATTATTAATGTGATGTAATTATTAATAATTCTAACTATTTTTTTTTTAGCCTTCCTGTTCCTGGTGTTTAATTTCATATTAACTACAACATCATTAGCAATGGTCCATGAGCGAGTGCCAGATAAGGATAAATATCCTCCTCTTCCTGACGCAGTGCTGGACAATGTCCCAACGATGCCATGGGGACTGGATGTATCGGAATTCATTATTATGATATCGACCAACCTTACCTTCCTAGTCATTGTGTTTCATAGGCACAGGTATCTTGATTATTCATTTGAGATTTTTTTAAAATATAGTTATATGTTTACTTTTTATCCACAACATTTTATATTATATTCTAATACAAATAAATATAAAATTATTGTGATATTAAAGTATATAGATGATAGTACTGCTAATTCATTGTATTTTCATTTAATATATGAAATAAATTTAACATATCCTTTCAATAGATGTTAATACATAATCAAATATATATTAGAGATTCTGTCTGAGTTTTAATACTAATCATAACAGTTCTAAAAGAGACTGAAATAAAGGTTTAACATTTAGTTTTATGTTAGAATATGATTGTTTTATTCTCCAGCTTATATGCATATTTAATTCAATTTATGGCAAATAGACTTCCATGTTTAATACTCTATTAGTCAAAACTAATGCATTGGTAAATTGGAACTGAAAAAATATGAAGTCTCCATTTAAATTTAATTTTCAATCTATGTCTACTGTAAATAACCTACTGAAAGTTGTAAAATAAAGATGTTTTGCCTGGAATAGGCGCATAGCCTTCCGCTTTTATATTGGGGTTTAGGGTTATTTACACTCGTGAATTATTAAAACAAAACCCCGGCACTGGCTATCGACTTTTTGAGGGTGTTTAACTGTGATTGGGAATTCGGTTATCTATTACCTTTTGTGACACTGTGTGAGAAGAAACAATAAGAATATATATATTTGAAATGTGGGACTTAGTAAATACACTTTGATTGAATTGACTCACCTGTTTTGTTATTCTTCAATCGTGAGGCATATATGACAACTAAATAAAATGACTTTTCACTCCTGTGTAATAAAACAATTTATTTACAACTGCAATAAATGAATGTATAAGAGTCTTGTAACTGTAGCCTTGATATTCTTGGTCTTCAATGTAGTAGGCCTCTCTTCCCCGATGACTTCCTCTCACCTCTGTCCTTTTGACTCCAGTCTTTGGCGTCCTCTTCACCATGTGTTCCCAGCAATCTGATCGGACCTTTTTTCTTCTTTTCGATTGTTTATCGATATGAGATTTTCCAATGAGCAATTTGTCCACTGCACAATTGAGTACAATTCACAGTGCAACCTCACATTCCTATATATTATATATTCCTTCTCATTCCCTCACAAAATGTCATCTAAAGGAGTAAATACAGGGGAATATCTACTACACTACGTGTTGTTTTTCTATGTTAGATGATATTTGAGCATTTCCTGTATCATCAGTTTATTTTAAAAAATCACTAAGTACATTTTTTGATGGGAATAAACTACTAAGTACATTTATATGAATTTCATTCTCGTTTATCGTTGCGATAATTGCAGTAAGTGCATCAAAATGACTCAAACTATTTTATAAATACAAACTAGTTTCTATTAAGTGCACAATGTTTTCATTTCACAGAACGAAAATTCATCAAAATTCTTATTACAAAGATTGTGATCATTTAATTAATGTTAAATAGCAGGACGAGGTTTCCGGCTTTTTTGCATATTTTCATTATAAAAAGATATGAATATGTATATATATTAAAATAAATGTTAGTTTTGTAGTGTTGATAGATGTTTATGTATTAATGATGTTTATTGCTTTTAACAAACGTACATGAACTTTGGATTGTTTCAGATTTATAGTATTTAGGCGAGTATTCCTTATAGTTGGTGTACTGTATATGATGCGATCTGTGACGATGTATGTCACTGTCCTTCCCATGTCGAGCACAACGTATTATTGCTCTCCAAAGGCGAATAGCACCAGTGTCATTCTCATATCGAAGAGGGTCTTCCAGCTAATATCTGGCTTCGGCCTCTCCATCAACGGAAAACACACTTACTGCGGTGACTTTATCTACAGTGGTCATACAGTTATCTTAATAATGTGTTCACTTATTATCAATGAATGTGAGTTATTATATTAAGTCATACATGAAATTATTTTATTTTGTTGTTATGAACTTTTAACTAATTAGGTCTACCAATCATTGAGGTCTTAAATTATTGGTGGCCTTAATTAATAAAAAATCTTGAATAAAATGTATTCTTATCAGATTCAATATGTTTTAAGTCATTTTACACAATAATTTTTTTACAATTATTGGCAAAGAGCCGAGCCTCATAGATGAAAAATAAAAAGAGTAAATTTAAAAACAAAATATAGACAACAGATTTTGAAATTCCGCTATCCATATTTCAATTAAAATGGGCCATCAAAAAAAGGAATAAAGTTTTGCTATTGAAAATATTCATCCAAAAAATATGACCAAAGTTCCCGGTTTCATTAGTTTACACAAAATCAATTTTATAAAATCACCTAGTCTGTTGTTCATTCACTTCATTTGAAATAATTTAACATTTAAGTTTCAGTGGCACTGAAACTTAAACGGTATTTGTATCGAAACTGAAACTGAAACGGTATTTGTATCGAACGAACAAATGTTTCTGCACCACATAACTTTTGGGCTTGAGAGAATTCATCTGATAATAAATATTTAGATTTTAACAGAAGTTTAAAAAATGTATTTCATTAATCATAATTTATATCAATATAGAAAAAAAACAGACATAATAATTGTTAATTAAGTCTATCCTTGTGGTTTGTATTGTAAATATGATCCTTTATTTTTTATTTTTAGATTCCCCAAAGAGGTGTATTTTACTCCATTGGGGCTCGTGGACAGCGTCTATAACAGGTGTCCTCCTAGTACTAATTTCAAGAGGTCATTACACCGTTGACGTACTCATTGCTTACTACGTTACTACTCGTCTTTTCTGGATGTATCACACATTAGCAAACCACAAATATCTGAAGGTAATATAGGATTAAGTTTAGACAAACGTTTTAATAATAGTTAAAAGTGCTGCATAAATAATGGATTCAAGTCCGTTGAGATTAGTATCCATGAATAAAACAAACAAAAAAATTATACAGGAAGATGGTCTGGGTTGGCAGTCATAAATAGACTAAATAGTTGCAAAACTATTTTATTAAAAGCCAACATTTCGATCTGACTTTGCAGGTCTTCTTCAGGGAGGTGTGTTCAGCAATGAGTTTAAAAAAAATTGTACCTATTAAATAACAGTCTATATTTACGTGATTCATTATTCTTAAAGTATAATTTATGGTTACTTGCGTTCTGTGTTTATACAGCATTTTTCTATTCTTATTAAATATGAAAAGTATCCTTTCTGTTAAATGACTGATTGACTGATGTGTATGTGGTGTGTTAAGGGCGGTCCAGACCGTTTTGCACAACGTTTCGTCTGTGCAGTCTGAAGACTGAGTGAAAATGTTGCAATTTTTAGAGTGTCCACATGGCACAGACATATCTGTATATTTTGCTCAGTTTTGTGTGATATCGTCATGGAGGACGTACTACTCTGGTCGATTTTCGCGATGTGGTTTGTTAAAAAAAAAAAGATTGAAACATCTCAGCAGTACCCGGCGTTCAGAGTGGTCGCGGAAATGGCTTCTGAAAAGCCAGCACTTTTTCCATATCAAATTATTGCGTGAATTACGTGATGAACCTATTGATTGACGGAACTACTTGCGAATGGACATTGACACATATACTTATTTATTGGAATTAATGCCTTGTTGTCTCCTGATCATTCAGGAAATTTAATAAATCAAAATACCAAAGAGATGGCTTGTATACATCGTCTTCTCCAGCCCCAGATCGAATCGATTTATTTATTTTAGCGAATTCTTTTCAGTACACACTTCTCAATGAATTTATTTTTTTCACAACTGTCTCTCGGATTGCCGTTGCATCAATTTATTTAAATGTATTTGCTAAAGTTTCATACGCCTTCCCCTTCTTATCCCTGTCACTGTATTCTTTTGATTTAACCCTCCAAATGCACGGGAAACTTTCATACAGACCAATAAAATCGGTTAAAAACTCCCTAGAACATTACCGAAGGTCAGCCATTGTCGTCTGATGAATTGAAACTGAGTAACAAAATGAATAGGAAAACGATGCTACCGTCCACATGCGCCGACTTGTCTGCGCAGTTCAAGGAAATCTACGCTCTCTGGCTCAGTTTTACTAAAACTGTACCGTCTTCGGAATGGATTCAAAACTGCAACGTTTTGAACTGCGCAGACAAAACGTGCAAAACGGAGCATCTGGACCAGTCTTTAGGGCCCCTTATACAGTCAATATAATTGATGGCGATGTATTGAAGACCCACTTCACACCTTTCAATTGTATTGAATCAATATGTCATTTGCAACCTTCAATAATATGGACTGTTTAAGTGGCCCTTTAGACAAAAGGTATTGTTCAAATCCTCTTTGGACAACTTTATAATACAATATTCTGAAAGTTACCATGAAAACTGTGTTATTTACACTCCATATTTTACTCCTCATACATCACACTCATATATACTGTGTGTTTGTATGTTAGCAGTCTTTAATATGATTTATTTTAAAAAGTTAATCATTTCACATAATTCAGAGTTATGAAAAAATGCTAAATATAACTTTTGAAAGAATTTGATAGGTTAATAAAGGAGAAAAAAAATAAAAATGCAGAAAAACCTGCATTGACTGTAGCGCCAAAACAAATGTACCGATTTCAATGAAACTTCGCTAAAGTCATTTTCTCGATACCCTTTAAATTTATCTATATAACATACTTCAACAAAAAGAAGCTGGAAAAAAAGTTATGAGGGATGTTAAAATTAAATTCCGAATAACTCAAAAAGTGGTTTTATAAAATTTTACCGAATTTTCTAAAAAAACAAAAAAAAAATCATTAAAATGGGACAATTAGGAGGAAAGATATGGTCTTTAGTTTTTTTCCCTGAAGAGGCAAAAATTTGGATAAATTAAAAATATATTTTGTTAATTTTTGAGACTAAAAAAACCTTTTTTCTACAGATATTTAATAAAGTGTCTTTCCTTCTAATAAGCTATCTTTCATAAGAAATAAGTACCTAAATTTATACCTTTATTCTCAGTTCTATATTTCAACGTTGCAATCACCACCTCTGGAATCAACTTACTCGTTGCCTGCATAGATAACTTTTTCAACTAAAAATATCACTAAAATGACATCACTCAAAAATGTTGAAATTCGAGTTAGTCATTCTGTGGTTTATAAAAGCAAAGAAAGTTGTGTGGTTTATAAAAGCAGATGGAGTGACGAGAGTTTTATTGCCTGTCGTCGATGTATTAAATAGACATTTTGTAATTATAAAGGTCTTAATGACTTGTTATCGGTAAGCTTCTAGCTTTAGCTCCGTTTAAAATGCACTTCGAAAAATTTTATAATAGCCCAGCATTGCCAGAAAATAATTTCTATTCAAAGTAGATCGGTAAGTGAAAGTTGTGTGTTGCGCGCACCAGATTTTTTTACAATGTAAAAATAAACAGTGATAATTATTGATTCAAAACAATCTTGATCAAATTTGCACTTGCTCATTCAAATTCTATTGAGTTTTCTCAAGAAGCAGAGTGAATCCCATTAACAAACAGTTTTGAAATGGATCTTTGTGTTTATTCATATTATTTTCTTATGAATATGTTAGATATAAGTTGAATAATTTAAAAAAATAAATAAATAACTTTTTAAATTACAGCAAGCATCTAGTCGAAATGCGCTCTCAAGATTATGGTGGTTCAAGGCCTTTTGCTACTTTGAAGGGAACGTGGAGGGCCCCGTGCCACGGCAGTACAATTGGCCCCTGCCTTGGCCTAGAAGACTCCTCGCGAAGCATCCGAACAGGGACAGTTAGTAGTCTCAGCAGTTCAGAGATAAAATTTGTTTTGTAATCTTCTGTCAATATGATGCCACCTTGTCTGAGTATATTTTTAAAAAAATGTTTGTTCTCAATATTTGAAATCAAATTTGGAACAATTGAAGAAAATTTCAAGTTAATGAAATACTCCATTACTTTCCAAATTTAGTTCCGTTATCTCAATATTAATGAATGAACTAAATTTGGTATGTGTTACCGCTAAATCGTGTAATTAGATATTGTGTATGTATGTATATATAATTACGATTTTTTTTTTTTTTTACTGCTGTCTACATTTCTCTTAAAATTATATTTTGAATGGGATAATGAAACGGTGCCGTTAATGAGGTAGTGATCTAGTTAGATGAAAGTTAGTCACAATTGGCTGTGATTTAATGGCATTTACAAGTGTACATATTATTGCTATACTTTTCTGTTAAACTCTGTTAGCTATTTAAAAATATTTTCCATACTAAAATTTATTATTTTAAATATTTCAAAATTATTATTTATTGAATTGATTCGTTTCTTTAGCTATTCTCAGTTTTTAGAAATAATTTTTATTTGAATTTTATTATTTCATACCTTTTAATACAGAATAGCTTATCGTTAGGAACATACATTTTTTCGCCCAAAATGAAAAATTTCAGATGTGTATGTATGGAAAAGTGATATCAAATTTTAATTTACAAGAGTAATGTTTTATTTTGTTTCTTCACTATAGTAATACATATATACATACATATATTAATAAATATATATATATATATAGCTTTTGTACATATTGTGAACTAATGCTATTTAAGCGGTAACATGTAATATGTTTTATAATGGTGAAGTAATTTTTTTATATTTTTGAAATAGACTTTTTTTGTAAATATTATTTTGGTTCCTTGTAACATTTACATATTATATATTTAAAGAAACGAGAATTATACTGTGTTACATGGCAGTACAGCTAACGGCCTCGCTTAAAGACGAGCTTAGATTTTACTGCTTAGGTTTTACTTAAAATATTTTTTTATTTATTTTTTTTTTTTTAATAAAACATTTACTGAAATCTGTACTATGATGATCTTTTTTTTTTTCCGTTTATAAGTTATATTACTTACTTATTTTTATTTTTTACTATATCATAATTTTCATTTTCATGTCTCTTTAAAATAATATTCCATTAAGTGTAAATGTATAGAATGTACAAATGTTGGAGTGGAATATATGGAACTCTCTGTGATGCCCTATATATATATAAATATATAAATCTAGTTATAAGGTAGTAAATTTTTAATTAAAAGAAGAGAAACACTTCATGCCTTCCTTGTCAAAAGTTTATAAACTAGATATTTATTTATTTTGGGCAGAATGTTTTGTTTGATTTTGATACTGAATGGCCCATAATTTATATCAATTAATCTATAAAGTTGTTGTATAATATGTACAAAGATGTTAGCCACCACACTTTGAAAAATGACTTCGATACAAGTGTGATTTAACTCCTTGCATTTTCGAAATATTATTTTTTAATATTAAGGTTTGTTGATACTTTACTAAAATTAATTTAATGATAAATTTGTATTATAGAATTTAAAATTAGGTTTAATATGTTATTGATATTATATTTTATTACATTATTTTTACGCAGTTGTATTATTTGTTAGTAGTTTTGTATTTTTTATGTAAAAAAAATTCCTTTGATTTTTTTTCCTCTATAATTTATTTAAAATAATAGTTAATTTAAAGTTGCGTTTTTATAAGGTTTTTAAAAATAAAATAAACCTGCAGCCTTAGCGATAGCTTAGATAAATGGTTTGTGAAGCGAACTTTAACCTTGAGACAGAAACTTTGCACTCATACCTTTCTATGAAATGCGTAACTCTATAATAAAGTGTATATTCCCAATACGTTATGTTGAATGTCATTAAATATTTTATTCATCAAGACAAAAATGTGCTATTATTGCACTTTGTTATAAAAGGCTTTAAAGTTTTTCTATAATATCTTTTGATTTCAAGACAATCTCTGAACTGATAAAAAAAATCTTACCATGTTTTGTTTTAATTCTTGGTAAAATAAGTCCCACTTAGTAGATGAGTGTGCTTTAGTGATGAGTGTAAAAATTGTAATTTAAAAAATACTTTCTAATGAAAAATGTGCCTATATTTTTTTAATCAGTGAATCTCATACGTGACCTTTAGGTATTAATCTATAATTGTGTGCTTCAATATTTTCCCCGAAATAGATTTTTCGGTTTATTTATTGGAGCTAATGTGTTGTAAATGCATAGCTATTTTTTCTTGTTTTTTTTTTTTAATTATAAGGCTGATTTTGAATTGTGAATAATCTAGAAAATATGTTTTGGGAAATTTCAGATTATGTTACAATAAAGTATTTATTTTAAAATATAACATGTATTTTTTTTTTTTTTTTTTAATGGTTTTTAGTGGTTCAGTTACATTGTCATTTGGAATGTATATTTATTTCCATATTTTTTACTTTGTATACAGTATAGCCAAATGTATTTTTTTTTTCTCATTCTTATTTGTTTTATTTAACTAAATTAGATATATTTTTTCCAATATAGCTTATTAGAATTTTTAAAAAGTTAATTATTTAAAAAGATACAGATATTTTTCTAAATTAGTTTTTGAATGGTTCTTCTTGTAATTAGATGGCAGACATGATTTATAAGATGTACGCAGATATGTTTACATATGTACCGGGCTCTTTCAAGATAAATAGCTGATTTTAAAAAATGTTGCTTTTTGATATTTCTGATCCTATTACATTTATTTTCATTAATTGAGATTGTCAGAAGCTATCAAAATTTCTAGTAGGATAAAAAAAAAATTATCTGACCTGGTATATTACTATTTTGGCAGTTTTAAGACTTTTTTTATATGTGCAAATACTTGCCATAAAGTACTACCATGTATCCAGTGTTGATTTTTGCTCTCACCCAATTTTGAAAAAAATTGACTCGGACCCATTGGCTTCTGACTTTCCCTAATTATACTTACGCCACATATATATCCTCAGATTAAGGTATATTATTATGTTAGGATTTAGTGATGAATGTTTTTATTTAGTAGCAGACTTTAATGAAAAAAATCTCTGAACCCAACTGTTGTGATTCTGGTAAGTTTACACAAAGCAACTTACGTCACTCCACTCAATATAGGAGAATACTAGTTGCTTATATCTTTTTTTTGCCTTAATATTGTGTATGAATTGGAAGATTTATTAATGCAACATATTTTGTAGCCCCATATGAAATATACCTTGTTAAATTCCTTTCTGCTCACAGACTCAGCCAAAAGTTTTACAAATTGCATTATTAATTGACTCAAAAGAGTGAAAAGAGACAAAAATTCGGAGGATTTCAAAAATGTCAATAAGCTATTTTGAAATCCTGGGTTACTACAATTTGGAATTTGATTTTACTAAATATTAAATAACAGAAAAAAAATAATTTTTAGTTGTTCATTATAAGTTGGATCTTTATTATATCATCAATAATAGATTAAGGTTTAAAAGATCACACATGCCCTTACAAGCACATTTCACAAGTAACTGGAAAAGAAAATGTTATTTATTTTTTTAACGTTCCTTATTAGACATTTCGAAAAATTATAATTTAAAATACAATAAAATTTACCACTTAATTGCATTACATGTTAAAGATTGATTTGCATAAAATCCATAGGTAAATGGCTTTGGTGGGACTTGTTTTCCTTTTGTTTGGTCGTTGAATTTTTGGAAAATTTATTTTCTTAGTTAAGTAATGCACTACTTCAATTCACATCTATTTTCTACTAAAGGAAAGGAAAATGGTTATCGGAAATGCTGTTTACGAAGGTAATATATTAAGGCTGGCAATGATTATATAAAATAAATTGAAGAGAAGGAGGTGTTTGAAGTAAAGTCAGACAAAAAATGGTTTTTGGTCGACTTTACTTCTTGTACAGCAGCCCTGATGAAGGCCTGAACTTCGGCGAATGTAAAAATAAATAAAATTATTTATTTTTTACCATTTCAATTTGACTTAACACCCCAACCACCTAAATAAATTAATATCTTTAACATGTATACCACCTTTATTGATATTTTTGTATGGTGCTTTAAGATTTTTTAATATTTGATTTTTATTTAAAACATCTAATAAGGCCGAAACGTTAAAAAGATTAAATTGTTTCTAGTTAAAAAATTGTTAATAGGTGAAATGTTTTTTTGTGGGAGTATTTGTGATCTTTTAAACCTTACTATATTATTGATTAAGTATAATGATCTAACAAATAGACTAATACAACTTCAAACTGACAAAATTATGCTCAATACTTAAGTAAACAAAGAGAAGAAAATCCTATAGGCTGGGGATTTTCAATTCCTAATATATCATATTAACAGTCTTCTATTTTTAAGAGAACTTTGTTTTTATTGCTTCTTCATACTGACAGATGATGATTTTAAAAGTAATTAATTAATGGGTAATAATAATAATAAAAGTTTATTATCTTATATATTATTTCTCAAATATATATCCCTTTTCGGGTTCTGAGGAGTGATGGATTTTGACGAATGAGGTATCAATAGAAAAGGAATATCACGTAGAGTGCGAGAATCGCAATTTTGATTCCTAATTTTATACCTGGACTTAAATAAAAGTGAATGTAAAAGTGGGAGGTTTCAAACCATATGATGGTGCCATCTCAAAGAATCGAGATGTTCCAAATGAATTAATAATTTGGGAATAACTCGGAAAGGATGCAATTTTTGGCCCATTATGCATGTGAATGCATGTGCAATTTTTGGCACATTATGAGTGTTTGAAAGCTTACTAAATTCCCTACAAAACATAAAAAAAATCATTGAAATCGGACTACGTGGTGCAAAGATATAGCAGTCTAAACATTTAGTATTAATTCTACTTTAAAGATTTTTTTCTTCATTCAGTTTTGGATTACTCAAAAACTTATATTTTAGTTGTAAATCTATTGTAGTAATCTATTGTTTCCATCAAGTATATTTTAGTAGAATGTAATTTTTTTTAATCTTTAAAATTTTTCAAGGATATATATTAATAAAAAAATTCATAATAAGGAGGAAAAAGCTTTTTATATATATGAGAAGGAATTAGTCGAGGGTGCGGTCAAAAAAATAAAAAAAAATTAAAATATATAAATAATTTTAATTTTTGCCGACGTTTCGACCCACTTTGCAGGTCGTTTTCAGGGCGTTGGATGTGGCACTGCGGGAGACAGTTGAAACACTGGAGACAGTTGAATATATATATATATATATATATATATATATATATATATATATACCCATGCATGGATCATTTAAATGAATTAAAGCATGGAATAAATATATAAGGGTAAAATAAAGCTTTTTCCTTGATATTATAAATTTATTAGTATATTTTCTTATTTAACAGAAAATGATATAAAAGTATTTCTTAATCTACCCCATTTTTTCTTCTGCTCTTCATTCGGAATTTCAAATTTTTTGCAATGACCCTTTTCTTCCTGAGACAGTATACATTGTATCAATAAGTAATTATTCTAGCTAATTGCAAATCATTTGGTTTTGTAAAATTAATTATTAAATTTGTTATATTGCTATAAATATGGAATGTTATATACTTCATTTTAAATAAAATATTGTCTATATATAAGCTATTAGATGTTTATCATTTTAAAAATTTATTTGATTTTTTTTAATTTTTATTTTTTGTTAATACGGACTGCTAGATCAAAACGTACCTTCCAGAGAACTAAATTCAAAGTATTTAGCTTTCGTCAGATATTTAGAGGCAATGTTTAGAAGCTTTTGTAAACTTAAGAAAAAATATAATATTATAATTATAAATTTAATGAAACTAGAAAGGGTTGACCTATGGATGGGTATAGATTATTATATTTATAAACTGATATCTTACTAAATAAAAGTATTAAACCTTTGCATAGAAACATTACTGAATGGAACATACAAATATAAAGTTTGTGTGAATTATTTGCATGGGTCAGCTAGTATTATTTATTCTTTGTTCAAAACCAACCGTATTATCCCAAGTGGGAAACAGCTACATAAACTTCTTTTTTTTTTTATCTTTACTGGTGTCCACTTAGATACTGACACTTGCACTTATATGCTAGTGATCAAAATTGTCCTTGTTAATTATATATAATAAATATGTCTGATATAGTACTATAAGAAATGCCAATATATATTTTTTTTTCTAAGCCCCAGATGGACCAAATAAAAAGACAGGAGTTTTTATGATGTGCAAAAATTCAACATAATTATTGTGAAACGAACTAATATAATATTTAATATTTAAAATTAATTTGTTTGTATAGACGTATGGATTTTTTTTTTACTTAATATATATACTTGAAAATATCTTTAAAAAAATACAGTTGAATATACAACGTATTTGTTTAGATTAAACACAGGTGAGAGGAAAGACAGGCTTCACAATATTGGTACATTTTTAGAATTTTTCATCTAATGAATAATGTAAAAAAGTGAAAAATATCTTTGATTATTTAGTGAATACAACCTCTAATAAAAATAATAACATTTTTCACAGAGCGACTAGTTTGTCATGGAAAATGTGATAAGAATATCACAGGAAAGTAAAGGGGTGATTGAATCATACAATTCTAGGATAGATTGATGTATGTTATTATCTTTGAATATAAATGACAATTTAAATAACGGTAACATTTAGGTATTAAAAAAATAATTACATACCTACTAATAGGCCCTTGCCTAGCCAGCTAGTTGACTTATCTTAATCGATTTTAGTTTAAAAATTGTATTCATTCATGTAGCTTATTTATTATTGGTTTTAATTTATTTTTATCTCAAATTATTAGGGGAACAAAACAATATGTTGGTCGCCTCAACATTTTTATTGGGTGAGCAATTGCCTCTCCCCTTTCCTCTTCCTCCAAAGTTTGCGCCTAGGTCCTCAGGATATTTAAATTGTGCATATACAATAAATACTACATCATAGAGAATTATATAGATTCTTTACGAATATGAAATCAGTCCATAAATCTTATAAGTGAATATAGTCTCAATATAAAATATTTGATCAGATCAAAAAAAAAAAAAATGTTTTTAATATTAATATTATTTACAATTTCACGTAATTTTAATTTAAGGATCAAATTATAAAAATTAATATTTTTTTCTATATTATACTATATTAAAATATAAGAAATACAATGTGGAAAAGGAGAAATATACAAAATACAATTACAGATAAATTGATCATTTATAAAAAAGCAATAACTCTTAATAAGATCACTTATAGACAATCAGTTATCAGGAGTTAATTGGAAGCAAGATTTCAAAATAGCGGACACATATTTTTATTAACAATAATACATATCTTTACCTATTTTAAGAATAAAATTATAATATAATTACAAATTATTTAATAGATATTTGTTAGATATACAAATATTACACATAAAATATCAATAACATGATGATTGAAATGGATTTAAAATTTAACAATTGATAAATGAGAACTTACATGATTTTATTAAAGCTATTAATTACAATTTAGTAGTACCTTAAATTAACTTTTTTTTTTATGACCATGTTGGATTCTGTCAATTCAAGGCTTGTACTCCACATATTTTCAACATTATGTTCTACTGCTTGAGCCTATGAAATAAATTACTAATCAAATTGATATAATATGAATATTATTTTTTTTTAAACTAATAACCATTTTTTTTTACTTCAAACTTACCTTTTTGAGCATTCGGCCTATATTTAATCATATAGAAGTACAATGAAAAAGATAGTTAAGAGAATTATGAAGTTGACAGTGCAAAACATGTTTCTGAAATAAAGGTAACTCAATGGAAAGGAAACAGGAAAAGATTCTTATCAGATGTACTACTGCAAGGTTAGAACACCTAAAAGACAAACTAAACTAATTAAATTATCTTATTTCATAATGAAAATCGATCTGACCAGTTGACAATAGAGCGTGAATTTTAAAAAGTCTCACTTGACCTTAAGGTTACGTCACTTTTTCTCGTTATTTTTTATATCCACTTAATTTCATGGTTCTCTCTAGTACATACATTTTTGGATACACACAATAGATTGTTCCTTAATAATTTCACCATTGTTTATATCAAATGGAAAGTGTATTAAGATGATTAAAATAATCGATAATTTGGTTATTTAAACAAATACATCACGATAGTGGACAATTGATTAACAAATTAAAATAAATGAAATTAGATACAGAGAAAAATCGAACAAGTTGTTCATTAGAATTTTAGAGAAAAAAAGTTTCTAATTGTTTTAGTTTTTCTCGTCCTTTTTTATCGCCTTTTAGGCACGGGTTTTTTCCCGGGCCAAAATTATGCGTGTTATAAAGTGAACCCTTAATTTTCGGTTTATCATCTGGTTGCCCGGTATCACAAATTTTACATAACCGTTAAAAGCGTCAGCCTGCTCGGCCACTCCACCCTAAAATTGTTCTTGTCTAATAGGAATTAAAAATAACTTTAGGCAATTATGAACTAGATAGTCAGTACAGAAAATTGTTTATTTAAATTCAAACCATCCCTGGAGGAAATTTAATAATATTTTTTTAGACGACAAATATTTAACTAAATTCAACAAAATTATTCGCCATATTGGTAACACTGATTCAAAGACGCAAATAACTAATATGTTTTTTATTAGCTTAATGTTCAAAAATTAATTAATCGAGGAGAAAAAGTTGACAGTTGAGCATAATCTCGGTCAAATCACCTCCTTACACAGGAGGCGATTTACAGATTTTTATTTTTATTGTTGAAAACCAAGGAAATCCCAATAAAGGCTTTATCTCACCTATATGTGTATATTATGGTAAGCAATTTATTTCCTTATTGAAATGATAGTTTTACTTATTTTAATTTAATTTCCTTAATTATTTACCACAAAGTAACTGTTTATAAAAAATATTTATCGGTCCATTCTTCCACAAATGTATTCAAAGGGGAGGTGAGCTTTCTGACAGAGGCCTTTGTTCATTCCTAAATCAAGTTTCTCTACTTTAAAAAAAAAGTTGTCTTATTTTTTTAGACATTTTTAAAAATCTGTCGAGACATTTCTCCTCCCCCCAGGCCTTAGTGTTGTACTTACTTTCCATTGAAACGCAAATTTTTATTGAAAATATTTATTTCCTCCCATCAAAATTTTAATCCTTCGAATTATGTAACCAAGAAAGACATAGGAATGACGCTAAAAATCTATTCTGGATTTGAGGTGAGATAGGTGAAGTAGAACATTTATTTTAAGTATAGGTGTATGAGAAAGTAATAAATAACTTTCATTATAAGAGTTTGATGGCCTATTGTCATTACCAATTACCAAAACGACAACTTGGAACGAGCTGTAATCCAAACAGTCATTCAAATAATATACAACTTAGATGTGATACCCTGATAAGTTGATATCAGTCATAATATGTTATGACCACGGTATATCCACGTCTAGGAATTACAGTCAAAATGTCCCAGTTTCACGAATTCCTTGAACATGCTTTCAAGTCGTCTTCTCTAAAATGTTTTTATTATACATTGCAACGGACTAGGCATCCTATAGAGAGGTACTATAGAGCTGATTGATAAGTTATAATTACAATTTTTAAGAAATCTACTGTCAACTTATGGATACTTGAAGAGTAAAGATGGAGTTTAGTCATCGCCCAACTTTTTGTTTTTATGAATTAACTTAAATAATCTCTTTAATTTTTAATTTAAAAAGTGATCACTTTGATGCTGTTCCTGACTCCTAAATTAATCAATTTCATTATTATTCCAGTCTGATAAATCATTTCTTATTGAACTTTAGGAGTTATTACATTAAAATTATATAGAACGTTAAGATTAATTTACATATAATATGAAGGGTTATTATGCTTACCGGATGTAATCTTAATTGTCAAATGTAAATTGATACCAATTTTTTTTTTTACATTATTCCCCAAATTTTCTCCAACTTTGAGCCAGATCGAGTGAAAAGTTTATTTTTTTTCTTTTTATTTTTTTTTTTTAATACAGGCATAGAGAGGTAAGTTTGAGCACCTTTAGGCAAAAATAGAAATGGAATTTGATCTCCCGTCTAATAGTAATCGGTAGATGTTCTGATTTAATTACACCTTGATGGGCATTTATTTATGATATTCTTTGCGTTTTATTAGAGACCAAAAAGTTTGTGCTGAGCATGATTTGTGTATGATTATTTATGATGGTATTTAAAATGTTTGAAACTGTAACTCAATTTTTACGTAGAAGCTAGCAAATCCAAGACAAAAAATACTAAGTAATTAATCCTAATAGATAGGTACTTTTCTCACTATCCAAGATTTGTTGAGCTCCCAACCCTAATGACTCTTCGAAATTAAATTAGCTTCATAAAATTGAGTATACAGTTGAAACTGATGAAATGAAGCATTTTTTTTTTTTTAAATAAGTAAAACATACTACAATAATACAAATAAAGAAACCAGAATTAAAATAGATTTATGAAATATGCGCGTTGCAGGGTTTTCTGGTTCTTCTGGTGCTTGATGGCGTGCCTTGGAGTAGCTTGGCTGTCATTGTGTACCTTACACCGATTCCAAAAGAATCCGACTGTAATTTCGCTAGAAAGAAACTACCTAGATTGGAACACGACGCTATCCGCACTAAGCCTTTGTCCATTGCTCAAGGCCAATCAAGAAGAAGTTCATAGGGTGGCCAGGTTTGTGTAAGTATGGTTAATAATAATAATTTTTTTTTTTTTTCTTACCCTCCAAAATGTTTATTGAAACAATTACATATATAGTATAATAAGGTTTATGTAATAATAATAAGGTTTATTTCGGTATTTTTATATCAGTGGTGTCTCTAAGTCATTTAGGATTCGCGGGAAGGTATACGCCACCTCCTCTGCCTCTTGGTAATCGCTGCTTAATATTGGAACTTGACCAAAATAATCCCGTGTAGCCGGAAGGCAAGGAAGGGAGGAATAAATAAATTACAAGATTACAAAATAAGTCGTGATGACCAAGCGTGTTAAAGCGTAAATTGTAACATTCTCGATTCTAATGACGCCGATTCGAATTCAGTCTGGGCGGGTTAAATTTTATTATTTGATAGACCCAAGGGTCTCTCGACTTTCCCACAGTGGTTAGAATAGGTTTCTTTGTACCTCTAGAACAAGCCCTCATATATCAGAAATGGCAAATAGCAAAATTCTTTAATATTACAATAACTTGATTTCTGTAGCCATGACGGCCATGAGTGTAAAGACGTTTTAATCTACAATGGCTTAATAATAATTATTAATTATTATTAAGCCACTGTATTTTAATCTTGGGAACCACGAATCTAGCGGCGCTGGTTCGATCCATCCACAATTGAAATTTATTTCAGGGTGGACCTACATTTTTTTTTTTTTTTTATTAATCTTTACCATTCGTTAACTTAGGAAGATACCGAACAAAGAATAAACCACAGAATGCTCTTAACTCACGGTAGCTGAAACGGATTGGTGATGTTTTGTTATGAATTTGACAAATTATTCAAATACAATTACACCATACTTACGAAATCTAAACACATATATGTTTGTTACAAGTTTCTCGGGTGATCTCGAAAAAGGAGTTGAGTTCTTGAACTCCTTAGCCAACTGGACGTACCCGAACCTAGGCCAAATTATCGCTAACCATGAGATCGAACCTTCGGATTACCAGGATCTGTTGATGTCCTTGAGGGTCAACTTCAGCTACATCCTCCCGAACCTCCCCACCATCCAAGAATTATCTTTGTCCATGACTGAAGTGGGAATCTGCTATTCCCTCAACTCTCAAATGGCTTTTTATGGTGATCCAAGGTAAGAATTATAGACTGAAAGTCATCATGAGTTACCTTTTCTTGGAAGAAGCTTTCTCAGTTTTGATTTATGTTCAGGTTCTGGATGTCAAATGGTTGGAACCTGAGAAAACCTGTAACACTCATACATGGCAATCCTCTAGATGTTGCAGAACTGTCAGTACAGGTCAATGATATAAAAGTTAGCTTCAATGTAAGTAAAATGGATTAGCAAACAATGGTGTTTGTTGACTTCCTATCTTCTCTGCTTTTCTCAAACCTTACTCTATCCCACAAACTCTATTTGATCCTTTTTTCCTGATGACTCGTCTTTTCTGGTTCCCAAATCCTGAACTAATGACTATAGCCCAGACCTGATTCGAATAAAAATCAGTCTTCTTCTGACTTCTTCATCTATCTCCAAAAGTCTTCAGGTTGCTTAATCTATTTTCAGCGAAGTACATTTCTTGACCAAAATTCTTTTCTAAATTTACATCAATCAAGTTTCTGATTCAGTACTCCAAACCATCTTTCTTACATACGCTTATTGATTCTGTCTTCTATCAATTTGTGGGAATCACCATCCTAGTTTTTTTAGTTTCTCCAAAACCTTTCCTTCAGTTCATGTAAGATAATTACTTCCATATTGCATGACCTATCCACATCCATAAGCATCATAAATTAGGTAAGAAGTTGGTATATCATTACCTGTATTAATCATTTATCTGATTCTGGATATACCTCTATTCTCTATACCACATCATTCATATGCAGATAACCTGTAGATTGACTAATACTTTCTCCTTTCTTAAACAAGGCCATTCTCAATTGTTTTGAACACTTCCTTAATAAAATACCTCACTGTACCTTGCATTATTTCTTTTATCCACCTATAGAACTACTTTTTGGAAACATCCATTGTCTATTCAAATTAAAAAATTCATGATCAGCCATTTTATTACTGTAATGTTTGACAGGTCTATTTGCATGATAGTGAAGAAGTAGTTGATGGTTCATCAAATTCAATGTTTCCTGTGAGACTTCAGGAAGCAATGGTAAATTTTTTTTTCTTCAATTGTAATTTTTTTAGTCAATTCAATTTGATTTATTTTTCTTTTATATAATTATTTTGTATTCATCACTTCATATAAAGGTTTTATTTGCATTTAACATAGGTATGATTTATAATGTTTTCAGTATCTTGATACCAATGTCTTGTCGATATACTCAACAGACGCAACGAGAAAACTGTCAGTTCAACAAAGAAAATGCAGATTCATGGATGAGTCCAACTTGGAAACAAGCCCTGTCTATTCTTACAGACTGTGTCAGTCTGAATGCAGGATGCACTTATCTTTAAAGCTATGCGGCTGTATTCCTTATTTCTACCGCAATTCTGGTAAGAATATTTAGAACCTGAAGTGACAAAAAAAAAAAAAAAAAAAATCAATTTTTATGAATTTATCATCAAACCGGAGATATATTTATACTGAAGTACTGAATATTTTGATCCATAATTTTCATTTATGTTAATTATTGAAATTATTTCAGGAAAATATAAAGTTTGTGGATCTACAGGAATGAACTGTTTGAATAAATATAGAGGTATGAAAGCAATCTTTAAAAATTAATTTTAATTTGTTGTTTTACTTTTCATTTTTAACCAATTCTAATAGTTTATTTTATTTTAGAGTAAATTACTCTATTTTTGTTTATTTACAATAATTTCATATTTTTTAAAATTGGTGATACTACATTACTATAGCAACGCCTACATACCTACATACCTATTCAATATTTCAGCATGTTTCAGACATATTGAAACAAAAGGATCCTCTTTAGTTAAAGAATGTACTTATGATTCATATTAATGTTAAAAGATATTTTCTTCTTTCACTAATTATTTAACGTTTATAATAATTCACTAGATCTAAAAACATAGAATTATACCTAAAATTGTAGTTACTCTGTTCTGAATTGTATACTCTAGTTAGTACTAAAATTGATGCACTGTAATATAATATAAATACACTGTCCGATACATAAACCAGAGATGAGCACTCGCCATCTTAGGTATAAAGTACTCTCAACATTGTTTAACTCATATTCTTGTATATACAGTGTCGCACTCATAGAAATCGCATCACCTCTTTCTCTTGATTCTCTTGATAGCGTTTATTCCATTTAATTTTTTTGTTTTTATTTACTTATTTAGGTTACTAGAAAACTTTAATAATTGTTCACAGTTCAGTCTAACTAATGCCGAAAATATGAAAATTGTTACATGAAGTATAAGAATTTTCATGGGAACTAGTAATGAGAGTAGGGTACCACTAATCAATGATGGTCATAGATTTTTTAAATAATTTTCTATCAAACTATCATTTTCTGGGTGATGTAATTTCTATGACCGCGACTGTATGTGCTCTCTCATTTTGTCAGCATTAATGCTGATGCAACATCCATATTATGATCTAAACAAATAAATCTTGATTACAAGAATATAAGCAGTTCAAATATTAATCGCAGATCTTAATTTTGATATTTTCATATGCATGTTACTGTTGATAAACTGGATAAAAACAGTTTAAAAAAATCATTATGAGTTTTTGAAGTATTGAATATATCATGTTCAATCATGACTATGAGATTTTTTTACTACATTATTTTCTTATTATGAATCAATAGTTTCCATAGACTTAAACTGTCCCTTGCAATTTCAGATAGACTTTTAAAGCTAAGGGAAGGAAATAAACGAGAAGAATGTGACTGCTTTCAAAATTGCAATTTTGTCAATGTTTGGACAACCAGAGTTTTACAGGGAGCATGGTGAATTTCATTATAAACTTTAAAAGATAGTAACTATTTATTTATCTTATATATCATATTTCTAAACAGTTTACCACATGTGTCAATATGAAACCAGAATTTATCTGTAGATGGCTGTAGTTGTGAATGTAGTTACACTGACAGTATGGGCACCAATTTGTTTCTTTGACAGCTAGCAAAGATTTTCAATTCACAACAATAAAATTTCAAGATCGTTTTAATAGTATTGAACATGTTGAGTTTTGTGCCTACACACTATGATTTGCGGGCATTATTAATTTGTTTTACCATTTATAGAAACTGAACCAGATTCACATTTAATGCTTGTCGAAAATTATGGTAAGTACACCTTTGATAAATCCACGTACTTTGGGTGTTTACAAAATTCAAAATTGGCGATTTTGATATGAGAAATACAGAACATGAAAGACCACTGAAAACTATTATGAGCTGGTAAAACTTGGCAAAACCATTAATACTGAATACTATCCACAATTAATGATCAATTTGAATCAAGTATTAAATGAAAAACGACCGGAATATAAAAAAAATCACAAAGCTGTTTTGCTTCCTGCAACTTCACTCACAAAAACCAATGAAGGAAACAATTGAGACGTTCAGTTGAGAAATATTAGATTCTCCATACTTGGCTTCTTCCAACTTCTTTTTATTTGCATTGGTGGGGCACTCACTTGCTCAGTAGTGCTTCACTTTTTATGAAAATGTTCGAAAATGGCTTGATGAAAAAAAAAAAAAAGATACTTCACAAAATAATTCTTAAGTTTTATAAGGTTTGAGTGCAAATTTTAATCTTTTGTAAAAGTTAATAATCTTTAAACCTTTAAGTTGAAAGAAAAAAATATACAAACTTATTGCTCATCTCTCTGGCCAAAGAATTTTTTTACAATGTACAGATGAGTTGTATTCCCAGAATACTTGAATGTTTTTTTTTTAATTATTGAAAAAGATTCTCTCAGTCTGGTGAGGATAAATGAATGCAGCAACCTACAAAAAAGTTGTTGAGGCCCAGTCCATACAACTTTCTATGATTCATTAATACATCAAAAATTTATTAAATTTTAAACATTTTGGCCTGTGCAAATAATTCGCATAGCACATTTCTTTGTAACATATATCAATATAATATGAAAATAAATAAATGCAATATATTATGAGAGGATGGAATTAATTTTCAAACACAATAATTATAAAAAAGTTCATCCATAACATTACATTATCCTTCCTTGTTTTGAATATACAAAATAATAGGGTGTATAAAAAAAAAAATTTATCATTTTATCAAATTCAAGATTTCAAAAGACTGTAAATATTTGAATCCTATTTAATACTTGCTGAAGTAACTCGTGAAATTATTAAATATGACTTAATATTTAATAATTTTACGAATTACTTCAGCAGCTGTGAAATTTTTTTTCCGGTTATACCTAAAAATTACGAGAATTTCATAGAACACTGTCATGTTTCTTCTTTGACACCAATAACTAAACTGAGGCTTTTACTATACTTTGAGTATTAATTATATTTTATATCAAAGAAATAATAATACAAATATTTGGTTAAAAAATGGTAATTTTTTTTTATACACCCTTTTACTAACATAAGTAACACTGTTAAATAAATTGAATTTATATTTTGTTTTTATTATTACATTTACATCATGTCTTTAAACTTTAAAAGGCAGATAGCACCTATATTTTTAAATAAAAATAATTTTTTTTAATAATAAGATGATAAATAAATTAATTAAGTTTCAAATAGCTTTACTAAAATAAATACAATATAACTGGATAACTTTTATTTTGATAAAATTAATGAAATGTTTGAAAATATTTTACTTTTGTAAGTCTTGGTATATTTAGTGTCAGTTATGATGGTTCGGTGCTAAAATTAAAATATGCCATGTTATTACGGTTTAATATTTTTTTTGTATTTACAGATGTTTATAGTTTAAATACACACCGAATACCAGAAAAGGCCAGATAGGGAGAAAAATTATGTTCATACAATATGAAAAATGTTTGGGTTTTAGTAATATAAACATAAATAATATATTATATTATTCTTGAATAGTAACTAATTGATATTACTTAAGCTAATATGCGGTTTTCAGGAATAGAGATACTGTTGTTCGGCTCTCTCTTGACTCATACCCAAGATACAGGCTCAAAAGGGACATTGTGTATAGTTTTGGGGATCTACTAGGTGAATATAATATTTTTAATAGTTATTGGTAATGGGAATTAAAAATGAGGATTTCTTAATAATTGGTAGTATGTTCAAAAAGTGAAAACAAATGTTAATTTTGGGTGTAATAATGAAAAACCCATATCCCATATTTCACTCAGATGTGTAAAATGAGGATGTGATGTCTATATCATCTGTCTGTATGGATGTATTAATGGCTGGGCTAGTTCTTCCTCCTATTTACAGTCTTAAATTTGTCGATCCATATTACAATTGACTAAATTGAATAATGGCCAAAACTACTCAATGAAGCCTTCAGAAATTGTCATGCTCCTTTGAATATAGTAATGGTCGGTTATGTTAGAATTAAACTTCAACAATATCTTTTTTATTATTGTAGTTAATTAATCATTTTATCAAGTTTATTATTGAATTAAATAATTTATTTATTTTCTGTACAGCACAAATGGGAGGAGCTGCTGGTCTCTGTTTTGGTTGCAGTGTTCTGAGCATCTTTGAAGTCTTCTATATAATTACTCTAAGATTATTCCTTTTTATTTTTAAATATAAACAACTCATGAAACCGATTGATTCATAGCATAATTATAATAATAATAAAACATGTAAAATCCACTTGATTCTCACTAATTAGATGACATCATGTCTTAAATTTGACATATTTTAAAAAATAGTGCTGTTAATATTTATAATGCTTAATAAAATAACTTAGGTTATAAATTTTAACATCTTTGTAATTTTGGTTTAATAACCCATAAGAGCAATACCTGTTTTTATTATATTCATAAAAAATCATGGTAGGTATAGACACAGAATTTTTATTTTGATTGGGGGGGGGAGGGGAGCCATGAAGCAAAAAAAAAAAAGTGGTAGTCCATATTATGTTCGAAAATCCAACATATACATGTTTAAACAGTTGTATGATTTTTTTATTTACCTTTTGATATACTTGAAAATATCTGAACAAATTAATTGGATATATTACAATTTGTATACATTAAACATGAGAGAAAGGGGAACAGCCTTCATAACATAAGTACATTTCTAGAACTTTTTCAGTTAAAAATTAATAATGTTAAAAACTGAAAAATACTTTTGATTTCTTAGTTTGTACGACATCCAAATAAAAATAAATCTTTTTCACAGCCTGACTATCTAAAAATTTCTATAGAAACATTCTCTATAAAATATATTTATACTTGTATTTATTAAATATATTTTTTACCAACTTTAACAATTTAATAAGAAAATCGCTTGAAAATGGAGGAGTCAACATGAAAGGCGAATGAATCATAAAATCTAAGGATATGTTTCTATATTATTATTCCTGAATATGAATAAAAGTTTAAGTAATAGAAATATTTAGGTTTTGATAAAATAGTTATGCACCTACTTATAGGCCTTAGCTTTGCCTGAGTTAGTCGACTTTTTCTTATTTTCTTAATCGATTTATTTCACATATTTTATTCATTCATATAGCTTATTTGTTATAAATTAAAATTTTTTTTTTTTACTTCAAAAAATTGAAGGCCGAAACAATATTGTCGCCCCCTCAACATTTTTATTTTTTTATTAGGGGGAGATCACCCCACCCCCCTCGAAGTCTGCTCCCTTGATTATAGGGCTATAATAGTCCTTATTTAATTCTTAACAAAAAATTGTATTAATAAAGAACAAATTTGTATAAATTCATTCCAGTTTACACAATGACTCAGCTTTATTATCCTTTTTCCAAATACTTTTTTATATAATTTAATGAACATGTCACAATTTTGAATCGAAATGTACACGTATGTGTGTACATGTATGTGCACGATTATGTCATCAAAGGTAAAGTCAATGGTACTCCTTGGTCGTCCAAGGAAAGAGAGAATATGAGAAAACCAGTATCAAGCCAGGAGAGAAGAAATTAAATTATTATGATAACAAAGTATGTTAGTTGTACTATGAACTCATAATCAGATTGAGATATAAATTTTATATAAATTCATCAAATAGATTTAAATTGATGATCAGTTATTAATGGTTATGAGTTTTCAGTAGACTCAAAATGTTAAAAAATAATAGACTTCAAGTGACAAAACCATACATGAAGGATGTATGGGTTAGTCAAAGGGTATTAGAAATATTAATAGCAGTAAGAATGTGCTTTAATGAGGAAGAATCTAAGTTGATTTATAGCAAGTTGAGTACTATCAAATGAAACTACAGGTTAGCCAAGGATTAAAAGGAGTCCTGGTGGAGGAACAAGCTATTGTAGAGAATTTTTTTAGGAAACTATGTTTATATAGTTATTATATATAATATTTCCTGGTTAAATTATAAAGACATCACCCCTGCCCCCTTCACAAACAAGGAATATCAATTAAATTTTACTCTTAAACTCAAATTTTGTTTTTCTAGTTTAAACAGCCATCTATCTAACTCATTAAATATATTCAGAAATTTATTTTTTAAACCATGAACACTGAATGTATCTCCTTTTCTGCTAGAAAATGTTTTGGTGAATGGATTTTAAAGATGAGAGCATATTTCTTTTTGGTCTGTTATAGTTTAAATAAAAACAGAAGAAAGGTTCATATAAATGAAAAAACAAATTGAAAAGCAGGAATCAATGAAATTATATTTGAAAAACTGTAAAAAAAAATCATTTCAATTTTTAGTGAACCTGACTAATAAAACTTTAGATGAGGAAGAAAAAATATAATATTAAAAAATTTCATTTTAAACCTTAATGGCCCATTATACAATCAATATTATTGAAGGAATACAGTTGAAGGCAATATATTAAAAAGCCATCTCACACTTGTGAATCATATTGACTCAATATTACCTTTAAGATACAATTAGGCATTTCACAAACTATGGGAAACAAAATTATCTAAGTTAACTAACAGCGACATTATTGCTAAAACAAACTATTTATCTTATTTTTCTTGATACCTACAGCAGATGGAAATTATCAAAAACAACAAGCAAAAATAATAGCATAGAGAAATAACCATTTATATGTTTGTTTTTCCCATAGTTTTTGAAATGTCTAAATACACCTCTAGAAACAATTTAGTAATAAAAAAGATTGCTATGACTAAATATTCTTTAAAAATTAACTTTTGAGCAATTAACAAAAATAAAAATATTACAACAATTAAATTCCATAAAATATATCATTTTGCCATAAAAATGGAGATTGACGGGAGTGGATCCCCCCCCCACCGCACACGCATATGTTCTAACCAAGAACGCTGAAATGTAGTAATAACCAGAACCTCTCAAGCTCCAAGATCTATTTATATGATTTAATATTGCTCAATATAGCGCTTATAAGTGCAATTACATTGACGCTGTTTCAATAATATTGAAGGAGCTTAAATAAAAAATTGATACCAACAAGTTTGACTGAAGTCAATACAATTGATACCTGTAGCTGTTACACAGTCAGTATATTGACAAAATTCTATATTAACTCAATAATATTGACTGTGTAAAGGCCCTTTACAAAGAAAATTTTAGTTATTAGAAAAAGTAATTTTTGAAGAATTGATTTCAACTTTCGACTTCTCTGTCACAACACTGTCACAACATTAGTTGTTAACCGGAGAGGTTACATAGCTCAGGTTTTCTTAACTGCATTATTTATATTGGTTTATCTATTTGAAAGTTTTGTTTTAAAAACTCAAAATGCCGCGAATTATGATAAAAGGTGGTGTCTGGAGAAACACTGAGGTAAATGAACATTTTTTCTCCTTATTAATTAGTTGCATTCAATGGGAAATTTCGAATTTATTAATTTTTTCTTTGCTCTGTAGGATGAAATTCTTAAAGCTGCTGTTATGAAATATGGAAAAAACCAATGGTCTCGAATTGCTTCTTTATTACACCGAAAATCTGCAAAACAATGCAAAGCTAGATGGTTTGAATGGCTTGATCCAAGCATTAAAAAAACTGAGTGGAGTAGAGAGGAAGATGAAAAATTATTGCATCTTGCAAAGTTAATGCCTACTCAATGGCGAACTATTGCACCGATTATAGGTCGTACTGCAGCACAATGCTTAGAGAGATACGAATATTTACTGTAAGTGATACTGCTTTTCATTGATTATCTTATAATGCTTTAATTTTATGGTGTAAAGATTGAAGAAGAGAATGTTTAAATTAATGAATTGAAGAGAGTATTTTGACTATAATAAGTTGCATTACTCCTAAACTTTTGCATATCCAGTTTTATAAATCACTAGTCATATCACAGTTTATTAGTATAAATTCAGTGTTTATTATTTATTTTTCTCCTAAAATTGTTGAGAATCTTCTGTTCTTAAATAGTTATTATTTTTCATTTTTAAGCGCTCAATTTTTCCATTTATAAATATTACCGTAGTTTTTCATCTTATCATCCAACTCTGATCCCAACATAGCATCCTTAAATCTCCAAAGTCACCTCACCTTGATTGAGCACTGGTGTAATAACTGGCGCATTAAAGTTAATGAATCTAAATGCCAACATATTACCTTTACACTCCGACGCAATTCCTGTCCACCAGTACTCTTTAATTCCATCCAGCTTCCTTACTCAGACACAGTCCGGTATCTTGGCTTTCATTTAGACCGAAGACTAACTTGGAACCCGCATACTAGACTCAAAAGACAAGAACTCAACCGACGATACGGCCAACTATACCGACTACTAAGCAGAAAATCTAAACTTTCCATTGAAAACAAGCTACTGATCTACAAGACAATACTGAAACCTATTTGGACTTACGGACTAGAACTGTGGGGATCAGCAAAATTTTCTAACATCAAGCGCATCCAATCCTTCCAGTCTAAAGTCCTTCGAACAATAGTCGATGCTCCTTTCTATGTATCCAACAAAACCCTACATCATGACTTTAACATCCCATTTTTCCTAGACCTTATCCCAGAAAAATTCTCCAAATTTCACCAGAACCTTACTTACCACCCAAATCCTCTTGCACAATCCCTATCAAGCATCTCCCATCCCTATAATCCTCCAAGAAGGTTGAAACGGCAGTGGCCTCGCGACCTTTTGTAGATTGTATAAATTGGAGTTCTGGCAATGGCCAGATTCTTCACTCAAGACATGTGTGTATGTGGCTAAAGTGCTCTCGACCAATCTCCGCTGGCTTTAGTACCAGTGACGCGGTTGGGAGAGTAGCGCAGGGTTCTCCTGGAGTTCCCTCGCCTGATTGTATATAGGTATGCATGTGTTTTGTTTTTTTCTTTTCTTAGTTTTAATTTTCTTATTTTTTAGGTTATTTTATTTTATTGTCTATTGTATATACTTTTGATTATTATTTTGTTCTATTTATTTTATTTTTTTGTACATATGGTGTGAATGTCATCCTACCTCACTATAACCAATGTCCAACAGACAGATTGTTATAATACTCAATAAAGAAATTTAAAAAAAAAAAGTTTTTTAAAAGTTATCATACGTTCGCTATTAGGAAATTAAAAATTCTAATGATCATTTTCTTTTACAAATGTTCTTATGGGCATCAGCGGTTACTGAGTTATCCTGATTTGTTGTGGATTTTTGAATTAAGTAATTTTTAATGTTAAACATGTATTTCTTCCATCGTAATTCTCTAAAGTTTTTAAAAATATTTTAAATTAACTTCTGTATGCATTAAAATAATAAATTAAAATAAAATTATTGTCGTCATACCTTTGCTTTGTACAAAATTATATTTGTATAGAACAACATATTTAGTTTACAATTCAGGTTTATATTTCTAAGGATATGTATCCAAAAAAATCAAGAACTAAAGGTTGTATTTTTTATTACTATAAAAATTCTTATTTAAGAGTTTTAAAGGACCCTTAAAACGAATCTAGTTTGCATTTTTCATGACGGAAATTTACTTAGCCTACTTTTTAAGTTTTGTAATTTATGATACATTATAACTCATCTAATACTTGAGTTAACATGTTTTTCTTATTCTGCAAACAAAAATGAATCAATTGACTTATACGCCTTTCAGTTGACAGAATGACTAACTCCAATTTCAACATTTTTGATTATTAATTTGGTACTTTTTGTCTATGCGGCCGTTTTGAAACCTCACTTCTTATCTATCTTATCTAACGTCATGTTATCATGTCACATAACCTCCGTCTTCTTAACCTGCCAAACTTTTGAGTTATTGCATTGTTTATTTTTCAGTTATTCCCTTATTATGTTCACTTATTAAATTGTTTATTTTTAGTTTTTGACCCGTTTGTGTTTATTTTACTTTTTTTTTTAGTTTGTGACCCCTTGGTGTTTATTTTTACTTTTTTTTCTCGTTTATTTTCGTCATATTATGGATCTTCTTAGAATATGGGATTTACCGTCTTCAGACAACTGAACAACACCCGACAACTGAACGAAGCAAACTATGACCATTTCCAAGTGAATCATCGGTATAATTTTGTCGATCCATCAACTGGGGTTCATACTCAACACATAGAACGATTGTGGGGCTCAGCTAAGTGGAGAAATAAAGTACATAGAGGAACTGCCAGACAACACCTCGATTCATATTTGTGCAAATTTTTGTGGCAGCGGGTTCACAGAGAAGAGGACCCGTTCCTCGCTATTTTAAGTAGCATAAAACAATTTTGCCTTCCAAAATAAATAAGTCAAAAGGAAGTGAATAATTAACTTAAAATAATTTGTATATACGTTGTTTATAGTGTTGATATTTTTTCTTTTCTAAGTAAATATGTTCTTTTAAATTTGTTTTTTTATTATTTCATTAATATATTTGTCGTCAAATAAAAGTATTTTTGTTGTTATTACATTTGTTTTTGTATCTGTTTACACTTTCAACAATACGAATTTAATACAATAATACGAAGATGTGAAATAGGAGAAGGCTTATCACTGCGTTATAGGAGCTATCAGTGTTCAGGTTATAAACATTGGCAGATAGCAGTCAGTAGCGGCCGCTTAGACAAAAAGTACCATTAATTTTAGTGACAGTTCTATATTTTAACACTGAAATCACCTACTCTGGAATCAACTTATTTGCTGTCTGTACATATATAATAAATTTTCCAACTAGAAATATCACTAAAATGACTTTAATCAAAAATGATGAAATTGGAGTTATTCATTCTGTCAACGGAGAGACTCTTATAATAACCTAAAAATCCGGTCAAAGCAAAGGCAAAAATAAATAATATATGTAATATTTATTTGAAATTATATAAAATATTTTTTTCTCAGCTCCTTTGGAACGTCGGGACATATGTCCAAAATGTTTTGATGTAGTATCACAAAAAAAAAAAGTTGAAATTGGTGGCCCTCTGATTGTGACCTCCTCTTGTTAATACTAAATTTATTAGACATTGTAAACATTAGATATTGCATAAAAAAGTGTAATTATCAGAAGCCTACAGCAAAAAAAAAAAAATGACAAAAATATATCATTTATCTCTTTATGTAGTATTTTATTCTTATAATTCGATAATTAAACTTAGGATTCTTTCATTGCTTTGAGCATTAAGTTTAGACAAAGTAAAATGAAGAATGAAAGAGTTACACGTTGCTATCATCCTATGTATAGAAAAAATAATTTAATAATTTTTGTTGGCAAAATACAAAAAAATATTTGGAATGAATTTGTATTAATATTTTTAGACCATGCTAATACAAACTAATTCCAAATACTTTTTGTATTTTGCTTAAAAAAAAAAGTTTCCTAGAATAAGGTATGGTTGCCATATTAAACTCTTTCATTCTACATACTAGGTATCATTCCAATTTCCCTTTTAATTTAATCTTAATCTGATTAGCATATATTATTAAAATGTTATTAAGCTCACGTTGTTAAAAAAAAAAAAAGGGTTTCTACTCTTTTAAATATTGATTTATTCCTTGTATTCTCTTTAATAGAAGCTTTTATTTCTCTATAATGCTGCTGAGAGAGAAGTGCTGGGATCTCCTAGTCTTGCCTTGTCCTTCATACGTGGGGAAAGGGCCAGACTAGGAACTCCTGCTGAGCTTACTTTAAATATTGTAAATATGTATGAAAGTGTTTTTATATTTTATTTCAGGTTACTTTTCTTTTTTCTTTTTTATTACATTTTTTTTTTATTATTGTATTGTATATATGACATGAATGAGTGTAGCTCTAATATTTTGTGCCCTTAAATGTGGCAAAATGTATTATTTCTTAATAAAATACAATTTATAAAATCTCTATTTAGAGATTTACATTTACTGTAAAAAAAATCCTATCTATTTGAAAATAATATAAATATTAATAATGATGAACATTATTATGTCTTTGTTCCTTATTAACTGTTTAATATGCAAACAGGTACTCATTTCATCTATTTTTTATTGTACTGACATAGCTAATATGTGATGTGTTTGGAACAAAGAATGAGAACCTAGATTTATCGGTAATATTTCGTACAGAAGTTTTTTCTTGCACTCCTGATTATGACCACTATCTGTTGGTTACAAAGTTTTTGTAGAATATACCAATACAATTATTTATTTACTCAGGAAATATATCAAATTACATCAAATAAATCAGATTTGTAGTATCTAAGTATGGAAAGCAGAACCTCCATGGTTTAGCAATAATATAAATTTTTAATGGCATTCCTTGTTTGAAATCTTTTGAATCTTTTGCAGAGATCAAGCCCAAAAAAAAGAAGAAGGGGAAGATGGAGCTGATGATCCTAGGAAATTGAAACCAGGAGAGATAGACCCCAATCCTGAAACCAAACCTGCTCGTCCAGATCCTAAGGATATGGATGAAGATGGTATATATTATTCCAATTTTCTGAATTCTTTGATTGATTAATGTTTCTTAAATTTGTGCATTTATATTTTTTATAATTAATGTTTAGAATTGGAAATGTTGTCTGAGGCCAGAGCAAGATTAGCTAACACGCAGGGAAAAAAAGCTAAGAGGAAAGCGAGAGAAAAACAGTTAGAAGAAGCAAGGAGATTAGCAGCTTTGCAGGTATTAGTCGCTTTTTTATTGAATACTTTTTTTGTACTGTACTTTATTATGCTATTATTACTATAATTTTCTTTATTGTAGAAAAGGCGAGAATTGAGAGCTGCAGGGATTGAATATGCAGCACGCCATAAGCGTAAAAGAGGCATCGATTATAACGCTGAAGTTCCGTTTGAAAAAAAACCTGCTCCCGGATTTTACGATACCAGTAATGAAGCTATTGATCCTCATGCTCCTAATTTTAATAGGCTTCGTCAACAAAATTTAGATGGTGAGCTTCGTAGTGAAAAGGAAGAAGTAAGTTAATCTAAAATATTTTTATAATGCTTACAAAAATATAAAAGAAGTATACTGTATGTTTGAGATCTTTTTTTCTTTTTTTTTTATATTTTGATCACCATCTTAGAAATAAATTTGTGGATGACAATTTAATTGTTTATTACTTTTCGATAGCTATAATTTTAAAATAATTTAATTATTTTATTAAACAGGAAAACATTCTATTGCACTAAAGTAATTAATCATTATTTGGTCATAGATTTTGTTAATATGATTTATTTTGAAAAATTAATGATAAAATATTTGATTTTGAACATAATTTAATGCTATTCTTAAACCAGATTTATGGATTAAGTATACTGTCAATCATTAATTTAAATATAGGTAGAATCTATCTAAGTTAAGTTTGAGGGTGGGTAGAGGGGGAGAGAAAACATTTTCCCACTTATCCCCCAAATTTTATTTTACAAGTAGAAATTTCTTTTATCATTTTTTTTCTTTTTATATTTATTTTTCTGTTTCCTACATTGATTCACAGAAAGATTGGCTGTGTATATAATGCAATTCATTTGATTCGAGCTGATACAGTACAGTCTAAAATAATATCTAATAATAATGTGGACAATTCTCTTTGTTAACATCCAGAAGTAAATGAAAAAGCCTCCACTCCATTATGGAATATCAGATAACTTAGTATCGAATTCTTTTCCATCTATTTCTTGATTTTTTTTTACGATCTATTTCTTGGTAAATTTAGATCTAAAAAAAAAAAAATGTACCATTACAACCCATCAAGGGTTTTGATTTCAGTACTATTTAGGAAAGCACTGTTTCTAGGTCAACGGTTGTGCAAGGAGGTGATTTGACTGAGATCACACTCAACCGAAATTTTGACCTAAAGATTCTAGTAATTACATCGAGTTCTGTGAACACTAGACCTCGCCAATTCATATATATTTTTTTCTCAATTTGATTATTTAACCATCCTTTTCATTGTTTTATTTTATTTTTAAATTAAAATTCCTCCCTAGAGAGGTCTTCGGGAGATGGAACTTGAGTGGGGGAAAGCTGCGCGAGCTTCCTTCTCCTACACTCAAACTTAACTTAGATCCACAATACCTACTTACTGTTGTATTTATATATGCTTAATTTAAATAATTCTTTGTTGTTTCTTTTTAGAGAGAACGTAGGAAAGACAAACAAAAAATAAAGCAGAGGAAGGAAAATGACATGCCTCTTGCGATGCTGCAGAACCAAGAGCCAGCCAAGAAAAGGAGTAAACTTGTCTTGCCACAACCTCAAATATCTGATCAGGTATTTTATATATATATATATATATATATATATATATATATATATATATATATATAATATAATATATATATATATATATATATTGTTTTCTATATTACGCTATCTAACTGTTTAAATATCATTTTCTTTTTTTGTGTCTCTAAATTTAATTGACAACTTGTTGGAACGCATTGGCAAGTAATATACTTTCAAATCGTTCTTTGTACTGAAAAGCAAAAAGGGAGAAAAGAACTAATTGAAATATTAACTTTAAGAATCTGACAGTAGTTTTCAGTATAATACATACTAAACCCTAAAGAAACACCTTTTTGGCGATTTTTGAAACATCAATTCATATTATTTTAAATTCATTTAATTAAAAGCTATTGAACAGATACTCACTACTGAAAACTTAACATACCTAGAACTCAATAATGGATACTGTTTCCTGTCTACTTTTTATATTTTCTTAAGATGAACGTCCAATTGATAACACTATATATACACACATATACATATATATATATATATATATATTAATATATATATATATATATATATATATATAAATTTTTTTTTTTTTTCTTCTCTCAATCCAGATTTTAGCAAATAAATTATAATACTTTTCTTTTTTAAAATACCATCACGAGATTTTTTTACTCATCTTAAGGAACAGGTGTAAATTATTTATTTACTTTAGTTTTTTTCCTGTCTCTAGTTTTATTATTAGGATGGTTTACTTACAATACTAATCCTTCCTAATAAAACTATTCCATTCCTTTCCAACTTTTATTTTATTTTATGCAATTTGTACCTGCGCAGCTGCGTATCTAGCAAATTTGTTGTATTTTTATTGACTTGGTGTAATTACTTGATTTTTTTTTTTTTGTAGTAGGTCTCTTGGCCATTTTCTTCTTAATCTTCATTGCTCAGGTAACAGGGAGCAGGAGATAGAAAGAACCAGAGGATTGGAGTGATTTTGGGTTGAAGAATGAAATGTAGTGTATTTGTCGTGGATGTAGGATTTTACTGTTGGGGTGTTTAAGTCATTATGTATAGTAGTGTTTGAAATGTACCAAGGTGCGATAACAATTTTTCGTAAAATTTTTGATTGTGCTGTTTGTATTTTGTTTATGTGTGTTTGTTTTGCTGAACCCCAAAGTTCTGCTCCATATGTCCATATTGGTCTCAGTAAGGTGTTGTAGATAAGTATAAAATTAAAATTTAGTTATTTTAATTTTATTGTTTTAGATGCTATCTTGCAGTATTGTAACTCTATTACTCTTCTTCTTTCTTTTAAATTTTATATCTCATAGCTGTGTATATACTTGTCTTATTGCTTATGTTTTTGTTATTCTTATGGGACTATGTCCCAGAATAAAATTGATTTTTCTATTTCTGCTTCTTTTTCAATTGTATTCCATCCCTCTCCTAATCATTCATGCCAATTAGTTGGTTATTTCATTTCTTGATTGCCTAATTTCAAAGGGAGCCCAGTCTGGTCTAGGAAATTTTGTTTTTTAACTTCTAAATTAACATGGAAACAAAGTACAGATAACATTATGTATGTGATATAATAATTGTATTATTTTTAATATTTTTGTTACATACTTCATGGGTTTTAGTGATAAGTATAATGTTTGATGGTGGCCCTAGAAATTTGTCTGTAGGGCTTCCTCATAGGAATTTTATTGTATTTAAAAATATTAAATATAATTTAATTTTTATACAAATAATGATATATTTATTAACTTTTTAGGAACTGCAACAAGTTGTGAAGTTAGGAAGAGCTAGTTACGCTGCCCGGGAGGCTGTAACAGAGGGCTCTGAAAGTGCTTCCGACACGCTTCTCAACGATTATGCTTTAGCCACACCCAATGCCGGATCTACTCCACGTACGCCTGCGCCTACTACTGACAGGATACTTCAAGTAAAAAATATATTATCTTCTATTTTTAATTAAATACATTGAAGAAAAAAGGAAATTTCTGCCATTTCTTAAAAATTTATTTATTATATTCTATTGTCAATGTTTGGGGCCTTTACCTAATTTTCAGGACTATTTTTTCTATTTAGAAACAAATAACAATTTACATAAAAAATAATTATTTCTCTTTTAATTGAAAAATCATTATACATATTAATTTACCTTTATAGTTATGTTTTTTCTTATTATTGATCCGTGTTGTTCCACTCTCAATTATGATATAATGTCTATGATTTACTGATTTATTTCATCATTTATTGAAATAAGTTAAGTTAAATCACATTGGTTGTGGGAAGTGTTACTCTGAATGATTTCATTGTGACATTGCATTTACATTACCTGAGATTGGACTCCTAATCTTATTTTGCTATTTTTTTAATCAGAAGTGAAATAGTTATTTTTGATCTATTATTGTTTCAATATAGAAAAAACGTTCTGAAGACGGATAAAAGGCCGGAAATGTTGAAGATAGAATATAATTAATAAATAACTTATTTTAAAGAATGAGAGAAATTTCTTTGAGAAAAAAAAAATCACTCAAGAAAGTCTTAATATAATTCTTCCTCACCAAATAATTTGTTTAAAAATGAAATATTTTAAAAATATACTGATTTTATTGTGTTTTTATTCAGGAAGCCCAAAATATGATGGCATTGAGTCATGTAGATACTCCACTGAAAGGAGGTTTGAACACACCACTTTATAACTCAGAGTTTAGTGTTCATCCACCGTCTGATCAGATCACAACACCGAACACTGTACTGACTACGCCGTTTTCTAATCGAACTCATGAAGGTATATAATACATATTTGTTGGATAAATTTTATATTTTTAAATATAAGCTCAGAAGTATTCCTTCAGTGGATCCAAATTTTATAATAATAATAATAAAAGGCTTAGCTAACATTCTCTGAAAATTAATTACCTCAATTATATTAACCTGATATATTTCAAGCAATTCAGCATTGTACAACTGCCTAAATTCTATGGTTGACTCATCCTTCTTCAGTCCGAACATTTTATCATTTTCTAATAAATCAATACAATACTTTATTTTCAAAAAGCTTAAGACATTGCTCATCCCTTAATGTTAATAGGCCAAGTTTTATATCCATAAAGAACCATAAGTACAATAATGTTTTTTTAAATTCTAATTTTTAAGTTTTGGGACAGGGGATGCGAGCTAAGTATTTTGTTACAGAAAAATAAAAAGCATTTCCATTTTTAACTTAATTGTAATCTCCTCTTCAATTTTGTTTTCTCTAGTTAGGGTAGACCCTAGATACCTAAACATCTCTATGTATTCAATCATAATTCCTTCTATATCGATTTCACGAAATTGTCACGGTATTGTAACCATATACTTTGTGTTATCCTTGTTTATTTTGAGCCTTAATTCTTTACTGTCTTTCATTAACATAACATTGTCGTATTTAGTTTTATAGCTTCCTTATCTTCGCTTAACAGAACCGAATCATCCGCATAATCAAGCACAGATATTGTTTCGCCCAGATTCAAAGTTTTTTCGGTACACATTAACTCCCTAATGGCATGTGATAATACTAAATTACGCAGAACAGGTGAAAGAGAATCACTTTGATTTAAATCCAAGCGAACCCCAAACTTTTCAGATAAATAATTACCGATTGTAACTTTATTGAATGTTTCTGTCATGCACATCTTAACTAGATTTATATATATATATATATATATATATATATATATATATATATATATATATTAATATATTATTTTGTCTCCTCTCCTCAGTCAGAATATCATACAGCTTTTGGCGCTCAATGAAATCTCGAGCCTTTTTGAAATCGGAACACAGTCGGTGAACAAACATTGCTAATTGTGGATTTTTACTGCTCTCAATATTTCATAAATAACAGAAATTAAAATAAAATCTGTTGAAAATTATTTTTTAATTAAATCTATTTTTTAAACATCCGTTCTTGAAAGATTGGTCTAGAAGTTACCTATCTATACATCTTTTAGATTTATTTCTTTTATTCCTAACTAAACCTACCAGTCAGCACAAAAAATTAAAGAGTATTTCTGGATCAGAAACTAAACAAGATTATTGTATAAATTTTATAATCTTAGTATATTTAATTTATATTGCATATAAAGTATAGAATAACATTTAGTATCATTCATTATCTCTTGTTTTGTTTTTTTCGTACAGGAAGGACTCCAGGTTTCCAAACTCCACAAGACGTAAGAACCAGCCTCACCACTCCTGTCAGAGATAAATTAAACATTAATCCAGAGGAAGGTGGTGATACACCATATGCTCCTGTAAATAATCAAAAACAGGTAAATTAATGAGGATCAAGTAATTAATTGTCAGTTATTATAGGTAATAGATGTAATAATATACAATTCATTCTCAATATTCCTTTTTTTTTTGTTCTTAAAACTAAAAATCGAGGGCTATATTAGACATGTCAGACCTACGGATTTGTATGATCTACAAAAACAATATTTTGGTAAAATCTAACCAAAAATAATAATTTCATTAGCATATTTTGTTTAAATTAGAACTTTTCCATTACTTTTGTTTATAAAACGTTGACTGTGATGTAATATAGCTTAATGAGGTCATTGAAAACTTCTATTTTCTTCATGAATATTCAAATTTTATAGGATGCCATGTCCATAACATCGAGGGTCTGTTGGCATTTATAATCAGCATCCATTATCTGCTTCAAAAATTTTATTTATTTAAAATACTTATTAACGTTTTGAGGAACATTCCCCATCTTCAGAATCTTACTTCTTATCCTATATTTCATTAAAAATATATATTTCTAAAGTCAATTAATTTATCAGTTGAGGCTAGTAGACCGGTTTATAAAGATTCGAGAATGTAAAAATTATTAAATTAATTAACTTTAAAGATAAATGTTCTTAATAAATTAAAGGATAATAATAAGTCAGATTCCGATGAGGGAGAGTGTTCCCGGAAACATTAATAAGTATTTTAAATAAATAAAATTGTTGAAGCCGATAATGGATGTTAATCATAAATACCAACAGACCCTTGATACTATTTTTAAGATTTAATTAAAGTCCATTTATTCGGAATAATATGAGCAAGGATTATTCCAGATAACGCTAAATTCTAGTTAAGAGATGGTATAATCAGTAAACATAAGTATTTATATTGGGAAGTTATTAAAATCCAAGTAAATGTAAATATATTTATGGGTTTGAAAAGTTTTAAAATTTATTTTAAATATTGAGAATAATGGGCAGAAATGGACAATATACATTTTACTCACATGTTTCTTAATATTTATCCCACTATTATGGCATGGTTTTACTTATAATTTGATGTTCTTAAATTTTATATTGTTACCTCATATTATTGACCCCAAGTATAAGTTGCTTGGAAAGGTTAGCTGTAATAGTGGAAAAACTATTAGAAACAGAGGTAAAATACAAATTGATCCTTTCTGAGCGATATTCTCTATATTTATTCGAAACTTTTTTCTTTCTGCATTGCTAAGCTACCCTTTATCTGTAATATATCGGGAGGGGTATAGCCACATCATTCTGTGCTATAATATCAAATGCATTCTGCAATAAAACTGTGTTAGTAGATATTAATTATCACCTAAAGATAAATAAAAAACAAATACTACTAAAAATCTGCGTTTGGATCTGGTATATCCTTTGAATTCTGCGGTATTCCAAACCAAGTTAGCAACGTATTCTGTCTTCAAGAATAAAATTCAAAACTTATTCTACATGTCAATAGTTAAATGAAAATACATTCTCTCAGTCCTGAATCAAATCGGCATTTGCTCTCAGCTATCACGGCCTTAGTTTTAGAATAAATTAGTAATAAGTGGTAAATCACTTATTGTTAATATAAGTGTAATAAATAATAAGAGCTTTAAATGAAATTAAAAACATGGAGGCTGGAGATTTTAGTATATTAGTTCATTTCTTATATTTCAATATTAATTTTTGTTTAATTATAACTGTTAAAACCTTTAATTATCTGTAATGAAAATACCTTTATTTTTAGGGACTAGTGTTCCTTTAGAACAGATGCAGTATAAAAATAAATATAATATAATAATGTGTAAAGTTAATTATAATCAGAATATAAATTTAACAACTTTTTCTCCCAATAATATTTATTACTTTATTTACAATATTTGAGGTTGATTGCCTTGTCCCCTAGTTTATATATATTTTTACACTATTTTCATTAAAAAAATAAAAATTAAATTAAATTATATTTATAGGTAAAAGAGGAACTTGCTGCTCGTCTTAGGTCACTACCACAGCCTAAGAACGATTATGAAATCGTTGTTCCTGAAGATGAAGTTTCATCCGAAACAGCTGCAGAGGGTTCTGGTATGCTAAGTGTTGAAGATCAAGCTGATATCGATGCTAGAAATTTGAGTTTCCTTGCTCAACAACGTAAATATTTTTTTATTTAATTTTTTAGTACATTTTGAGATAAACTTTAATTCTTAAGTTTTTTTATCTGTTCCTTATATTTTGGCTCATTTCAATTAAATATTATTTAAAAAATAAAAATAAAATTGTCTTCTGTTAAAATTTCTCATTATTCATCTGCATCTGTAGAAATTTATTCATGCATGTATTATTATAGTATCAGTTCAAACAATTATTACTAAATAAAATAGTACTTTTTCAGAAAATTTCCAGAGGTTTTATAAGAGCCAATCAGCTTCTGATTAGCCTGATAGTAAATTAAATTTTTAAGTCTTGTAAAATTGAACATGGTCAATGTCAAAATAAAGATTATCATTTATCTTATTAGGGCTAGGGTTGATTATAACTTTGAAAAACTAAAGTTCTGCTCTACTAACTAATTTATGAATTAATGAATAGCGTTTATAGGTATTCCCTTAATCTAAGTTCCTGTAAAATCAAAATCCATACTTTAAGAATTATACAATATTTTATAAAGGTCTCTCCCAAAACTGACATTTCATTGATAAAATCAGATATTTATAGCTCAAGTTAGAGTAATTGGTTTCCTGAAAGTGAATTCATACGACGCTAAGTTGAAACTATTTTATTTTTTCTCTTACCCTTTTGAGGAACTAGTGAGATCAGATGTTTTCTATAGGAATAAAATTAGAGACTCAACATACATCATATGATCATTTTCTTAATTTTTGTTGTTATTTGCAATGTTTTTGATATTTAACTGATAATGCATATATCAATCAATCAATCTTTATTTGTTTTAAGAGAAGAACCCCATACAAATGGAGTCTACCACAAAATAACAAACATTATTACCCTTATTGAAATACAATTTGATTTTTATACATCACAGACATTACAACACTCTTAAGCATAAATTAAAAATTATATTCAGTTAAGATCAGACAGTTAAAATAGTTCCAATTATCAAATTAATATAAAATCTAAAGTTGTCAACGATATACATAAATAACTACACATAAAACAATAAATACACATTTTTTTTTTAAATATTAATATTATACTATGCTTTAAAATTAAATTAAAAGATTACTTCTTTACCTAAGAGAACAGACAAGAAAAATACCTGGCCAGATTGCATGCCGATGTAGCATATGGATTTTTTCCCATATTATGTGGAGGACAAAACTCAAGATTACCCCACCAGTTCTCTATAATTTGATATAATTAAGATAAAAAAACTATAATTTTCTCATATCTTCTGTACTGATTGGCTTAAATATTTCTATCCTATCAAGATTTTCCGTACCCTGATAAATTCTTACCATTAAACTACTATAAATTGGCCATTTAAATAATATATGATGAAGTGTTTCCTTTTCTTTAGTGTTGCACATTTTGCACTCAAGTTTTGGAGAAATTTTCACAATCTTATTATTAACAGAAATCTTGATCATATATTTTCCCGAGAGACGGATCTGCATTAATAGTTTCGAATATTTGAAATTATTCGGTATCAACAATACTGGGGAATCTGATCATTATTAAGAAAAAGGTTTAAATGTTCACTATAAGATTTTTTAATTTTTATATTCAATTTTTTAATTTTTATAATCCATCACAATACTTTGCCTATAAAATTGATTTTGCGTTCCTTTCTAATTTCATTCAGTGATTATTATGCTATTGTTTTAGCTCCAATATTGTAGTACTGAACCCCTATTACCCAACTGTTCTCGTTAATTTATCCTAAAAGCTTAATTAATACTTAATTTATTACTAGTATTTTGTTATTATTCATTGTAATAAGTCTTTTGGCCAGATTTATGGTTAATTTATATGAACTATACTGTTATTCTAAAGGGACCTAGTCCCAGAATAAAGGTGATTTTTCTAATTCTATTTCTAAAAAAGATGAGCTATGCATTTTTATCTTGTCTCTTCTGTCCTGCAAATGTTGTTTGTATTTATTTAATATCCTGTTAGTATTTGTTCTAATTATGGCTGAGTTGGTTTCATAAACTATATTTCCTTCCCCGATAGTAACTAACAATGCTTTTAGCTGTGAACACCAATTATATTTTGATAGAGCAGGATTAGCTGGCTGACATTTATTTCTTAGCTTTTCAAAACATATTTTTGGATATCTACATTCCTCCATTTCCACAAGTTTAACCAACCAATTCAATGAACACTTCATAATATTGAAGCCAATATGAATAGGCACTGTCTCTAAACACACTAAAAAGTCTGGGGTTGTTTTGCATAGCGAATATGTCTTTTTATAGAAATTTGTGTAGACCTTTTCTAAGAGCTCCATACTTGGGCACAATATAGCAGAGATGTATTGATGATAGCTTTTTTCAACTTATCTCTCGCCTTCCAGGAGTTCATTTTTGCTTTAGAACAAATGTTTATTACACTACCTATTGTCGAGTTTGATTTTGAGATTGCCATCTTAACTGATAATACATATATTTTTGTTACCTTACCTAATTTTTCCATCATTTTAATTTTAACCTTTGGTAATCCGAACATGTTGATAAACTTGCGCAGGCTGTGTTATAATCTACCTGTTCGGATTATCCATACTGTTATGTACATTAACTTTTTCTCTTGTTTTAGGCGAAAAAGAATTAAAGAGTAGATCACAGGTAATTCAACGAGCTTTGCCCAGACCTGGAGACATCAACATAGTACTCCGCCCGGCTAATACAGATCCACCTCTAACAGATCTTCAGAAGGTCAGAATCGAACCATCAATAAATTTAATATCTTGTTAAAAAATAACCATGCATTTTCAACATATGTTGTCTGAATCATAATCAATGATTACAATTACAGTAATTTTGATTACATGATTAAAATCGTAATCAGGTTTCTAATTAGGATTGTAATCAGGTAATCATGTCACATTATTGCTGTATATATAGTGCTATTGAATTAAGTATAAAATTGGTTTGATCATTGTTTTATTGTAATCATTGATTTCAATTTTGCTCATCTCAGATTTTTAATGATACTAATATAATATTTTTTAGAATTTTTATATTATTATCCTATATTTTATTCCTCTGATTTCAGGCTGAAGAGATGATAAAGGAAGAAATGATAACAATGTTACATTATGATGCCATTCACAGCGGTGAGCCTTCTTCTGCAAGAAAAATAGGAACTGTAAGTCAGGCACAGCACCTTGCCTATCTCGAACAACACCCATACCACACTTACTCAGAAGACCAAATAGAGAAGGTAAAGTAATCATGCTTCTTATCGTATTAAATGTCTTTACTGTGTCCGTTTAAAAGTATGTAACAATTTTTTGAGCAAACGACTCAAACCATTTTTAAGTTTGAGACTCACTTTTGATATAGTCTGGCCCCAGAGACTTCTGTACAAACTGTAAATTCCTTCCCCTACATACTTCCTCATTATCTGTTCCTATCTTGCTGATAGATACTTCAAAGTCAATCACAATAATGTTAGTTCATCCCTCTTTACTCAGTCTGCAGGTGTTCCACAAGGTAGTTTCCTCAGTCCCATCCTCTACACAGTTTATACAGCTGACATTCCAACCCATCCTGACACTGTCATCAACACGTACGCCGATGACACATGTTTGCTATCTGTTAATAATGACCTGTTAATTGCATCCAATCACATATCACAAGAATGGTGTGAAAATTGGAAAATAAAAATTAATTTCAATAAATCTCATCAAATCACCTTTACCCTCCGTCGTAAACCTAAGACTTCCTGTCCTACAATATCCTTCAATAATATTCCTGTTGAATAAATCTGCTACCTAGGACTCCACTTGGATAAACGTCTTACTTGGAATCCACATACTAGACTGAAATGACAAGAAACTGCTCGACATTTCTGACTGCTTCAACACTTACTAGACAAACGCTCTAAACTTTCAATTAATTACAAAAGACTCATCTACGAAACTATAATAAGACATATATGGACATACAGAGTTGAGCTTTGGAGCTCCAACAAACCATCGAATTCCTATTGTATCCAATGCAAAATCCTTCGTAAAATTCATAATGCCCCATATTTTGTCACAAATAAAACCACTCATAAAGACCTTGATGTTCAATATGCCGCTGATTTAGCCCAAGCCAAATATCTATTCTTTCATAATAAACTCCCAGTCCAATCCGAATCATCTTGTTTCCAGCCTTGCTTCTTCCTCGATTCCTGATAATCCTCCTAGGTGTCTGAAAATAAGATGTCCTCATGATCTCACCTACAATTATTTAGGGAGTGTTACAAATGGGTAGTATCTTTTCAAGTCTGTAATAATTGCTGGGTGCTACGGTCCTATATGGACTTCAAGCCAGTCATTTCTGTCTCCTGCTTCTGTCCTCCATCTTCTTACTCCGAGCAACTTGAGGTCCTCTTCAACGTCACCCAACCATCACATTCTTGGCCTTCCTCTGTATCGCTTTCCTCCAATTTTTCTATATAGCAGGCGTCTTGGAATTCTATTCTCTGTCATCCTTTGTCCGAGCTCCGAGCCGTCTCAGGCGGGCTTTTTTCACAAATGAAACCAGGAGATCTCGTAATTGTTTCTTAACCGCTACATGCCATTTATCTTACTGGCTCTTGTACTGTCTGGAGTATTTTTCTTTCCCATACATTGAGTTTCCTTTTACTTTCACTGATCAATACCCTGGATTCACTGCCATATGTAACTATGGGTCTCAGTATGGTTTCATAAATCATGAGTTTTGCTTTTTCGGAAAGAGCTTTAAATGTTAATATTCTTTATATGGCATAAAGGCACTTGTTACCTGCAGCCAGCCTGGCATTCACTTCTTTCGTGCTGTTGTCATATATAATGACTGCACCCAGGTACTTAAACATGTTTGTACTTTTAAAACTGAGATCGCCAATCTGCAGGTCATGGTATTAAAGTTGTTGATGCTTGGAAGTTTTTAAATATTTTCTTTTTCATTTAAATTAAGGCCCACTTCAGTGTTTCTTGCCATTATGAGCACATCATCCACATATGCCAAGTGCTGTGTGAGCCGATCGTAAATTGTTCCATTAGGGTTGGTTCGTATTGCCCTAATAGCTTTTTCCAAGGCTAAATTGAAAAGGACAGGTGATAGTTGGTCTCCCTGCCTCAGGCCACTATTTACTGCAATTTCTTCTGATAGCATTCCCTATATTTTTATCTTCATCCTGCTATCATGCATTGTTATTTGTGCTAGCCTAGTGAGCTTCTTCGGAATTCCCAATTCAAGCATTATCTTCAGTAATTCTTCTCTATCAATACTGTCATATGCCTGCTTAAAACCGATAAATAAATTATGGAGGTCACCGTTAAATTCATATCCCCTTTCAAGAACTTGTCTTAATGAGAATATTTGATCGATGGTTGATCTTCCAGGCCTGAAACTACACTGATAGTCGCCCACTATCTATTCAGAAAACTTTATCAGCCGTCGATTCAATAATACAGAGAATACCTTGTTGGCTGTATTCAGTAGTGCTATCCCTCGATAATTACCACAACATAGTTTCTCGCCTTTTTTATGAACGGGGCATATCGCTGTTATTTTCTACTCTTCAGGCATTCTCTCTTCAAACCAAACATCCCACGCCAATTAGAATATACATCTTTTTAAATCAAGTCTGTTCATGTCATTATTTCAAATTTGTACATATTTAGTGGTTTTATTTGTATACAGTTGTAAATTTCATTAAATAAACAAAAACAAAAAGTTTGAGATTCAAATTATTTAGTCTTTGGGCACAAAATGCTGAAAAATATTTTAAGTATTATCGATTTTTTGTTGGTTTAATATCATATCATTAGTTAGTTATCATTTGTGAGAAATATATATTTTCAATACTTGAAGCTGAAAAAAACCTAAATAATAATAAAACTGGCTTAGCGGTTAAAAGATTAAAAGATTTTTATGAAGGTGCACAGACTAAATTGGAAGCTATAAGGAGGGTGTGTCATACATAGTTTGAATTGTGAAACTTGGATTAAAAAGTGTATAATGAATGGATTTTAACTATATAACTTTCTTCTTATTGGTTAAGTGAACTTATAGGATATTGGGTACCTCATTCTGTATTGTAATAAGCCACAATTTCAATTAACACATTGAAGTATCTTTAAAAAGATAGAATGTCTTTAAGAAAGATAATTGCTATTATATTATTAAATCAACTTTTGTCCAGATTGCTCGATTCAAATTAGTATCTACTGTCATTATTGTAAATACTTGTTGAAAAATGAGTTATTGAAACTTAATTCTCCTAGTATATATATGTTTTTCTTTAAAATTGCCATTACGTGATAATTCTTATTTAATTTTGTCAATTTAAGGCCAAAGAAATGCTGAAAGCCGAAATGGAAGTTGTCAAGCAAGGTATGAACCATGGTGATCTGTCGCTGGAAACATTTACGCAAGTTTGGGAAGAATGTTTAGCGCAGGTAAGAACAGCAACAATAACAATTTTTGAAATACAAGCTGTTAACATTTTTAATGATTAGTGAACTGTATTTTTTTTTACTCTTAAAAAATTAAATAACAATTACTTTATTTGTTATTTATAACTTTTATTTATAAAATATATAAATTTTATTTATAGTTAAAATATATTATACTTTTATAATTGCCGCACATTTATATGTTTTTTCTTCTTAGGTATTGTATTTGCCTAATCAAAATAGATATACAAGAGCAAATTTAGCTAGTAAAAAGGACCGTCTGGAGTCTGTGGAAAAGAGACTAGAACAAAATCGAACACACATGACCCGAGAGGCAAAAAGAGCAGCGAAAATGGAACGAAAAATTAAAATAATCACTGGTGGATATCAGGTAAATAGTACTTCTGAAGTATTATGTTATTGTATTTGTCATGAAGTATTAAATATATCTCGTTATTTTATCAAGTTATAGTAAACAATCTAGTCCTCAGTGGCTTTATTCGATTTTTTCACATTAAAACATTCATGAGAAATTGTGGTTACATTTATATTGCTTATATACTCTGAGGAAATAAAATTTAGAATATAATTACAATTTACAAATAGAAGATAAAAAACAAAACAGAAACTGCATTTAAAAAAAAAATTATAATACTATTACTTTTCTTTGTATAACTAATTGGATTTGAAAGATATCTTCCTCTTGAATTTCATTTTTTAAATTATAACAATCTAATTTCATTGCTATTTTTATTATTACCTATTTCAATTTCAAAATTTTTTAGGAACATATATTTGACTTGTATATGGTTTCCATTTGATTAAGACGGTGAAGAAAAGTAAATTTTATCAATTTGTCAACATCCGCCTGTAACTTTGTAAATACCTTCATCTCATCAGAACCTACAATTATTTTATTTATGAAAATTCTCGGAAATTGGGGCATTTTCAATCTGGAGATCGGCAAACTTTGTCTATTTAATTAGGTACTAAAAATTTGTAAATACTCATTTGCTTTCCACTTGAATTAGATAATAAGAACAAAATAATTTGATCACAAAATCAAGAAAAAGTTGGCCTGCAAAAATATTGAACCATTTGGCGCGACCTACACCCCCAAAATTTCAAAATAACTAAGTTATATAGGCCACATAGCTCAATATTTTTGTAAGCACTTTTTCTCGATTTCGTGATCAAATTATCTTACGACTCATGTGGAAAGAAAATGAGTATTTACTAATTTTTAGTATTTAATTAAATAGACAAAGTTTGCTGATCTCCAAATTGAAAATGCCTAGAATCCCACAATCCCGAGAATTTTAGTAAATAAAATAGTTGGAGGTTACAATGAGATGAAGTTATTACATATAGTTATATACACGAAGTAAAGGCTAATGTTAATAATTTGATAAAAAAGGGGTCTTTAGCACTGACTACAAACTTTAACTGAGAAAGTTTTTAAGTATTTAAATTTGGTCACATCTTTACCCATTAGTGTATATAAACTATTTGTCTATTTTTATTGGTATAATGAAATATTGGGTAATTGAAAATTAAAATGGAAATTCTTAATTAAATTCTACGAATGGAATAGCCCAAGTGAGTAAGGCATTGTGCTCCTGTTCTCCCAGTTCTTGATAAGAATCCGGCTGTGGCTGGTAATTATTTATTCTGTTAAAGCAGACCCTGGTGTTGGGAGATCCTCTAGGAGCACAACCAGCTTCTATAAAATGTCTACAATTAATTAATTAATTAATTCTAACTTTATTATTTTATAATTATTGTTTAATATTTTCTGTGTAGACTAGAGCTCAGGCACTGATAAAGCAACTTCAGGATTTAGCTGACGAGACAGATAAGGCTCATATGGAGCTGTCGACGTTCAAGCTCCTTCAGCAGCAGGAAGAGAATGCCATCCCCAAGAGAATAGAGGTACTATTGTGGTGATAACAAGTAAAAATTAAATTGTTATTTAATGTAATATAAACATATTTGCTAATTGTTTTTATTATTTTGTTCAGTCGATATCAGAAGACGTAAACAGGCAGCTTGAAAGGGAGAAGAGCTTACAAAAAAGGTTTAGCCAACTTCAGCTGGTTTCGCAATCATAATGGCTTATTTTATATTGAATATGCTTTCCTATCATCGGTCTTCATATCGTCAATTTAATTGTATATATTTATTGTTGCTTGTAAGATTTTTTTGGTTATGAAATGCTAAGCTGAGAATTTGTTTATCAATTAGAATTATTGAAAAAATGTTATAAATTTTAGCTTATGGAATATAGTTTACTTTTATAGGAATTCCAATTTCTATTAATAAAGGGATTCTATTATTGTAATGTATATAAACATATAACTATTTCTTAGTTAAAAATTTGTGACATAGGTTCTATTTAGTAAATTTTAATGCATTTGGATTATTTCAAATATTGTTTTATTCATTACAGACATTAAGAACATAAATGTAAATAAAAAAGATATATAAAAAATATTCTCATTTTATTTTTTTAAATCTATATATATAAAAATCCTCCTTACATCCTAGAACTCCTTACTCTATGCTCCTCTATCCATTCTCTCAATACCAAATCTCAACATATAGATTTATATATTCCCTCCCACGAAACAACTTCTTTCAGCAAATCCATTGTCATTCGTGTTAACTTCTTTTGGCCTATTACCTATCCCCATTTGCCAAACCATGTCCACAAATTCCTTCAAACAATTCCTATTCCACCAACTACTACACCTTCAAAGTTCCGCCAGCATATAAGAATATTTAGCCTTTGTAAATACAATTGCTCATCAATAGTTAAATGATAAGTTCCTTTGAGCCGACGTTTCAACCCACTTTGCAGGTCGTCTTCTGTGCGTAGGATGTGGCACTGCGGGAGGCAGTTGAAACTGCCTTGCGGGAGTGTTTCAACTGCCTCCCGCAGTGCCACATCCTACACCCTGAAGACAACCTGCAAAGTGGGTCGAAACGTCGGCAAAAATTAATATATTTTAATTTTTTATCTATTTGACCGCACCCTCGACTAACTCCTTCTCATATTATATCAACGGTCAACCATCTCTACATCATTATAATAAGTTCCTTTGTATTTTTCTCTCTGTTTTTTTGTATATATCTGTGTCTTCTTTTTTGTATATGCCTGTATCATATTATCATATCATATTTCTGAACTCTATTGTTATTCTAACGGTACTTTAGTCCCGGAATAAAATTAATTTTTCATTTCATTTCATATGTTTGTCATTCAATATTTTTAGGTGAATGAACATCAATCTGTTTATTCAGTTGAATCTGAACAACTTCTTTACTGGAAGCTTTCTTATAAAATGGTACCAAAATGCCTAAACAACTAAATTGTTACAATTTTACTGGTACAAAATATTAGAGTAGAGGAGTGTCTGGAGATTGACAGGAATTATTTTGAATTTTTAAACAATTCTAAAATATTTTGATCAATTCTGAGCATAAGTAAACAAGGAAATTATAGTGTATAGTATAATAAACAGATATTATAAGGAAAGAAAAGTATTAATTTAATAGATAGTGAAAATAATACCTAGTTGAAAGAATAGTAATTATTTTTTTATTGTGGTATGAAATAAGAAAAAAGAAATTTTGAATATTTTGATTAATTTGCAGTCTGAAAAACAAGTTCTCTAGTATACAATTTATTAAATGGTGAAAATTTGAAGAGTTAAGATGAAATAAGCAAAGGAATTATTTTAAACTTTTTAAAATATTCTGAACAATTTTGAGCATGAATAAACAAGAAAGAAAGAAAAAAAAAAAAACTGTTCTCAGAAGAGTTTTTATAAAGTAAATAATGGATATATTTATGAGAAGAATCAATAGGAAAGGATCTTCAAAAGTCAAAAAAGAAAAATAGTTTTATTGATTTAAAAATAGTTGTTAGTTTTATCAAATCAAAGTTTTCAAGTGAGCCCACATACATGAATGTATTCTATAAAGTTTTATATATATTTATTGATTTTTAATCTATTTAGTTTTACCAAACAACTTAATTTGAACATCCCTGCATCTTTTATTTTATATTATTAAGATTACACTTGATAAATCAAATTAAAACATTCTTAAACTGTTTTACCTAATTACCTTACTCTGTTTTATCAAGATAATATTAAAATCTTGTATTAAAAATAAGTAATTCTCAAGAACTTTTTAAAACGATAACTTGTTGATAGATTGATTCTCAGTTTAAGTAATGTTTGATAAATAAACACAAACTTCAATCAGCTTAAATAAACTTTATTCAGATCAACTATAACTTTTTTAAGTCAGAATATCTTTTGAATAGTCTGTTACCGAATTTTCAAAAGGATCCTACCTTTCTTAATTATGACTGTCATCCAATGAGCCTGCAGTTCTTCATATATTCATTGGTATAAACACTTACTCATCTTATTCTAGTCAAATGATTATATATACTTAGACTTATGTATGTGAGTAGATTTTTATAAATTTGATTTTTTTTACAAAATCTAATAGCAAAACTAAGATGTACAACATCAACACTTTGAATATCCAAGTTTCAAAGGGTTTAAACATACATATTATAACAAAAGTATCACCATTTATGTTTAACAACATTTTTGAAGACAAATTATTCCAATACAACCAATACAAACTGTACAGTAAAATTTTATTAACTAATACGGTAAAAATGTTTAAGTTTAACACACTCTATTCTATTCTATATATTCTCTGTCTTAACTTTAAACTCTCCATCCCTTAAGCCTTAAAGCACTGAAGAGTTTATTTTATAGCTAATAAAGACAGAAACTATTTAAGAAAACTTTTATTTGTTTGTCTATCCATTTAATACTTTTAATAAGACATAAAATAATCCATTACAAACGAATTAAGGTAAGATTTTATTAAAGTTTAAAAAAAATTGTATTTATCAATTATCTCATTATTATTTAATTCTTAATGATTTAAAAAAAAACTAAGAGTCCAGCTCCAATCAGGATATTTAGTTGCACTAACAGATAGCAGCACCAATCCAGAAAGCTGAGAAAACCTTTTGTAATAGTTATAGTAAGTGTTGGTAGAGGTCAGCACCAATCAAGATTCAAAATTTTTGTTCTAAAGTGCAACTACCTTTAGTCAGTAATAGAGACTATTATTCCAACTTTGTTTTAAATTCTAAAATTGTAATTGTATTAATTAAATGTTTATTTATTTAATTCTTAATGTGAAAGGCCAGCATAATCTTTCATAATGTGTTGAATGTTCCATAGTCTTATTTGAAATTGTGTGTGTAATAAATCTTGTTATTTGTTTTCCTCTTGAAGTATGTTGTTGGATGTTATATAGCTTTGAGTCAGTGTCTGTTTTCTAATGTCTTAAATAATAGATTATTTTGTAATGTATTTTTCATTAAAAATTACATAATTTAGTTTAAATATTTATCACAAATTTCTCAAGTTTTTATATTGAGTGAAATGAAGTTGAAGGCATCTAGGGGTTTCGACTGTGAATTGTGTTAATAAATATTATGGATACATAATAGTTATGTATTTTTAAATGTATAGTAAACATTAATAGAAAGAAGCAAATATTTTATGTGTTTCTGAACAGGTTCTTTTTAGTTTACCCAGTTCTTTCTATGTAATCAAACACTTAGATGCACTAGCGGATCCATGATTTAATTTTGGAGGTTTTTTTTTTTCATATATATAAAGATAATTAATTGGAAAAAAGAAAAAAAGAAACTACCTACCTATATAAGTGATTCTTGAAGTTCCATTAAATGTAATTACACGAACAATAATACTTTAAGAAATAATTTTTAATATTTTTTTTCTATAAAACATAGTTATATTTTACCATTTGGGGAAGGGGGGGGAGAGGGCTTCAGCCCAAAAGATCTGTGAGATCTTGAACACTAATAAAGTTGATTTGTTCAAAAGTGATGAATATTCTACTGAAAAATTTCTAACAACTAGAAAATTAATTCTAAAAAATAAACAAAACTGTGGATAACTAACCTTTTGTTAGTAATTGGAACTAGATAATGCAAAATTGAAATGAAATTGTCAAAAATCGTACTTACAACAATTTATTGAATAAAAATCCTATTATTCATAATTACTTTACATGTGTTTGTAACCAATTCCGTAAATATTATATAAATTGTAAACTTGATGCAAATAATCATTAGAAAATATGTAAAAACACTACTAAACTTGGTTAAATATCTCATATCATTGTATATGCTGGTGTCATATATCAGTTTGCTTATTTAAAGGTTTTTTATCTACCATTTTCTTTCTAGAATACACTTTGGATTATGACTGTATCAATTGTACATAAGGCTTATTTCATGTTAATAATAACCCTTAAGTTAAAAGTACCAGTAATAGACACCTTAAGAGAAATTTTTCTGAAGGTGGATCTTTGCAAATGGGTTTAATTGACAACAAATTTAGTCTTTTATCACATTTTTTTATATACATTCAATTTGTTAATTATTCATGAAAAACTTAAGGAATTCTGACATCATATTGTGTACCAGTGATAGATACTCAGGTTTCAGTGGTAAATAAGTTTTTATATAATTAAAAAACCAAAAATAAATTCTTCTCAGAGTGAAACTAAGAAATAGCAAACCCTATATCAATGAATAACAATTTTAAACTTTTTCTCCTGGGGAATATTAATAAGGAATCCTCCTTGAAACAAATCTCAGCCTTATATTATTAAGAAATCAACTGGCAATCGGTTATTGTGGCATAATGTCACTTGAGATTCAGGAATCACCATCGTAAGTGTCCTAGCTCCAAGTATGCTCATATTTGTACTCTCTTTGGAGTTAAAGCTTATATCAGTTAGTGAGTTGAAAACTATCTATTACTGGTACTTTGTCTATTACTGGTACATTTACCTTAAATCATTAATAATAGCGTGGAGATAGCCTATGATTATAATTTGAGGAGTTGGTTGGAGATGCAGTCAAATTAAATACTATTATATAGCCGTATCCAGTACTATTACAGCATATATTATTTAATTTGATCGCACTTCCGACCTTCTCCTTCTCAAATAAATAATAACAGATGAACTGACAATCTTCATAATTATATTTATTATTTACAAAATAATATTTAAATAAAAATGTTTTTAACCTAATTTAAAATAAGCCTAACTGAACTTATACTGGTCTCAATGCTGTTTTATACAACAATACATTTTAAAAAAGCCATTTGTATACAGTAACAAAGTATTTATATGTATTTATT